CCTTTTTTAGTTTAACGATTTGTCTTCGGCGGTATACGTTCTGCATCCTGCTAGCCTCCTGTCTTGCTTCACTCGCTAGCAGCGATCTACCTAAGTCGATCTACTGGTTTATTCGCAACCTGGAGTTCCAGCACCACGGCGAAAAAGTAATTTCATAAAGGCAAGCTTGGCGGGCATGACATTGGGGGCGTCTCTCGTTTCCAAGTCCAATTCTCACAAGAGCCTTCGCATCCATCCCCATGCAAGGATCCTTGTCCTCAACGGCTCCCAGTCGTGAACGAACCACAAGCCACACGCGGCTACGACGTAAGTAGAAATGGACACGACCACAAACACAATGATAAACGGGATCCTAGAGGCAGAGGGGACGCTGTCCGGATTGAACCAGTTCATGCCGTACCATGACTAGGAGATAAAGTTTAGCTCACCTCTATTGAGCTAGCCATTCCAAGGTTGTACGTACCGTAACAAAGCCCATAGGAAGATATAAAATAGTGGCGACCGTAAAGACAAGAATATAGCGGTTTTGTAGACTGCTGTTTTCGGCCAAACTGGTCCCTCTTGCAGCTTCTTTGACTGATGTAGCATTGAAAAGCTCAACAGGTTGTCAGGAAGCGGCGTCGTTTTCGTCAGATCGAGACGAGGACTTACACCATCTCGCAAGCCTTTTATTTCCTCCCTCTTTCTCTCAATTCGGCTCAGGATTGGTTGAGTCCGTTTTTCATACTCAGCGATAACACGGGCAAAGACAGAATCCAAGTGTGGTTGCGCCTTGGCTAGTTCTTGCTGCTCCTCTTTCTGCTTTAAAGTTCCGTATTTCTCTAAATAAGCAATATTAGTTAAAATCATGTGTTCTAATGTCATTTGCAGAAGTTCGAGGTCAGTCGTGACTTCTTTGATCCAGTCGGTGCATGTATGGAGTACTTGAAGGATAGCAAAATACTCGTCGGACTTGGAAAATTGCGCATCATCGAACATCAGGTCGCGTCTCCTCGTACGAGTAAGCTGTGACAACTATCTCTAAGTCAGAAAAGATCACAGAATCGAAATATATAACAGGGAACCCGGAGAGGAGGCCACAGAAAGAAGCGGTACACTGAGGCTAATGTAAGAATAAGGTTGTACTCACACTCATAGATAAGGACCGGTCCAGGCGATCTAGGGAATGTTTCCACTCCACTAAGACTTGGTTCAACGATCTGGAGATCTCGGAAAGAAAGAAACCCACTCCCGATAAGCAACCGATGCGATAAGTTTCAGATATGGCATTTCCAGTGAGGAGCGTGTCCAGATCGACACTTGTTTGCAACCGCCGGTCCTTATCCCACATGACGACCATAGTATACAGGGGCAATCTAGAGAACATAGTGCTGTAGATCGCGAATCCGCACCGCATCTCATAAAGATGAAGATCATTCTCAGAATTGCTAGCGCGGTTGGGTATGTCTCCTTCATCTCGATGTAGCCAAATGCCGTGATATGCCTCGGCTCCTGCCTGGCGTCTCGTGGTGATGTCCATCCAACGGACCTGAAAGCGGAGAAAGATTGCAGACCCCCTTATCTGGCAGTAGGTTTGTGGTAGGGTACCCCATGGAGACGCAAAGTTCATAACGAAGTTCGAGGCTTCTGGATGGCCAGGTGATGTATGTTCGTCCGAAATTTCGGCATGCTGCAGCTGCCATAGAGCGAATGCAATTGCCTTCATAGATATCACCAGCGTGCAACTCAGAGAGATTTGCCTGCTTTCGATGAATATACGCGGTGTTAAGATGTGTCTTTATCACACTCACATGATACGCCCGCACACCCTGCCTGACCATGGCACGTGGTAAGAAGCACTGGTTTCGTTTTCTAAACTCCGCTCATCCAGTAGGCCTTTATCCTAGATTATAGTTAACCGAGTGACTTATTGGGCATCCCAAGACCAGGTAAGCATACCATACGATGATACTTTTTGCCGTATTTTGGATATCCCTGAGTATCGTAGCTCAACTCGCACACTTCGATTTCGAACTTCTGGTCCTTAGCCTGCGGCAAGGCCCACTGAAACTTTATCCAACGCTGGGAATCGTCGTTATTAATACTGGAGGAGTCTGGCTCGTTCACTAGGCTTAATGGCCAGGCACTTAACAACAGTGGCATTGTGCTAACATCGAGCATGCCTCTTTCCCTCGGTGTTGGCTGGTCTAAGGATGATATGTCGGGTGCTGCGCGGGCGGTCACTACCTTCTTTAATGGAATCGCTAGGTTTGGCACCGAGACATAAAGACGATCCTTGTATGCTTGTAACTGGGCCTTGAATGCTTCTTGGACTTGGTTTAGCCTGCCTTGCGATGGGTACCGTAACTGATGCCATCTTGCGAAGATCACATCAGACCAATCCTCGTGGCGGGGTGCTAGCTCTGGAGTTTGCAGGTTGGTGGGTTTGGCCCTAAGAAAAGCCAGCTCTTGATTCTGGATTTCTAGCTGAGCTCTGATTGCATTGAGGGCTTCGAGAATCTCCTCGGTCTTGGTGTAGCCTTTTTGCGCAACTTGCGAGTTGTCGACGTGGGGCGTCTCATTATTGGGTCCGGTTGTGCGAGCCCCCAAGGCCTCTAGTATAGCATCCACTAGTGTCATCGAGAGCGAAAAAGGTCCAGAAGAAAGGTTAGACGGGTTAAAGGGTGGTTCTAGATGGCCATTAGCGACACAAGAGAAGTTTCGCGTGCTCGACGCCTCATTAAATCGAGCGCCTCGAGTCCATGAGTATCGGGCACTGTCACAAACAAATTTGGGTTGCCAATCGCTAAGAGGGAAGCGGAGAAGCCTTACATGCAGCTAAGAAAAGCCAGTAATCAAGCTAGCGCCCAACTTAGGCAGCTACGGAAGATAGTTGGGCAGGATGGAAGCACTACATTACGACTGATTCCTGTCTATTTTTTAATTCATTACTGTCGTAAATTGAGGATTCATGATTTGCGTTAGTAGGTCGGTTAAGACAGAGGCAAACCCCGACAGGATTGTAGTTCTACTTAAAGAAAGGAAGTTGCCTAGTCTTTGATCGATGTGTATTCCCGGAGACTACCAATTCCCTACGTGTCCATCGTATCCTGCCGCCTATTTTAGTGTCGCACACTGAACAATAGAAGTAGACCAGTCACCGAAATCAGTGGACGGGGGAACGGTGCGAGATATTCTAGGCCTGCAATCGAAACACCGAGACACACCAGGGCAAGCAGGAGAGATTCCCAAAGGTGAGACAAGAAGAACGAGCGGCCCAGCATCTCCTACAAAGGGAGCCAGAAGAGCTTGCTAGAAGCTGAGTAGGGTAGGCAAAACACGGTCGTGTTTCGAGGAGAACGGGTACTATGCTAGTCGACAAGCAGGGGACGGAGGCTGAATAGTTACGGACAGACGGGCCTGGAAACCGCAATTATAGCAGGAATGATGCGTTGGTATCGTGGAGGCTTATCGCAGTAAGAATGTAGACGAGAGAAGTGTGCAGAGAGAAAAAGCAGCAAAGCAGAGGGTGGTAATACATCGCAGAGCGTCGGGATAAAACGAGGAGTAGCAGGCGAAGCAATCAAAGAAGGAGAACGTGCATATACATGCAGGAAAAGCCCTAGAACCCTAAAAGCCAAGAAAAGGCAGAATTAAAGAGAAAAAAGGGCGAATAAGTAGCGTGCGTAGCAGCAGGGTCCCTATGTAGAGAAGCGTGCTCTTTTTGCGGACGCGCACGTCCATGCACGTTGATTAGTTCCCTTTCTCTCATCAGGGCATCTCACGACTTTTCTACTCTTATGCTAGTATGCTGACATGCTCGACCTTTTACACACGAGCTAGTACGGGCTGGTGCTCCAACATAGGCTGGTCGAAGATGTGCGACGTAGTTGTTGCCGCGTGATGTCACCACGCGGATTTTAGTTACGCTATACAGGGCGTTGGTGCCTGAGGCTACGTAGCTGGATTCCTGAGGCGAGGAAATACATTGATGTCCACATGAAGTTACGGTGTCTGGACAATAAGCGCACTATTTTGGCCCAAGGCGACATTCAAGTCAGCCTCGCCGTTGATTTGGCCAATCCTGGGTTGGGATTCGATGGGATATGCAAGTGCCAAGAGAGCACAGTTTCAGCCAGAGCGAGGCGAATCAATAACGCTGTGTATCTGAGCTCAGGTGAGAGGGCCAGGGCGTCGGTCGTGTGACGGAGGGTGAATCTCACCCGCTCTTACCCAGATTCTCACCCTGTCTATGCTCACCCTGTCTATTGCACACTCACCCTTCTCACCAATTGATTCTTTCTCTCTCACACGCAACGTAATACATACGACCATAGGGTGTGGAAAACAGGGCTTCCCGTCCGCTCAGCCGTACTTAAGCCACACGCCGGTGAGTTAGTAGTTGGGTGGGTGACCACCAGCGAATCCTCACTGTTGTATGTATGTTTTCTATTTTTCGCATCTCTAGATAGGGGATGATATGAGTGAGATGATATGAGTGAGAAGTCCGGATCGGCGTGACAATTCTATATCTGTCTCCCCCTCATGATCTATTCAACTCAAAGCTTTTCAGTGACTACACATGTAATTTAGCACATGCAACCGTACCTAGGTAGGAAGTGGAAAACAGGATAACTAGGTGGGATTTGCAGATCCCAGACTTCGCGGCTCCGGATGTCCGATTTGGTAGTCGTGCCCGCGGACCCTGCGGACTCCAAGATCTCTGCTTATCGTTCGGCAATGCATCCTATCTCCATGTTGTGGATTCCTCACACAATTTCCAGCTTCGATTTGCTGGCATTTTTGCTCGAAGCGAGAGCGGCGGACAACCCAAACTGAGATGCGACCCCGTTGATACGGTGGGTTGAGTTCAAGTTCTTCACAACGAGGATTTGGTAGCAAGTGGCACTACCTTGGCGAGAGGCGATGACAGACCAGGCGAGGAAGAGCTCCCAAATCTATTCGATGTTAAAACCTATCAGGCTTAGCACATAGGATGGCACTCACCCTAAACCACCGTTGGCCATACTTGGCCTTGATGGCGTCGGCATTTCCAAGCCAATTGCGGTACCATCTCCACAGAGTTCCAGAATAATGCACCCCGACGGTATCGATACTGATTTTTACCATGGTCAGTCCGGTCAAAGGCAGTGTTGCGAGATACTCATAGAACTTACCTTTTAATCTCAAATCCAGCCCGTTCCAAGCACATCGTATAGTACCAAAGAGGAGTGGACGCATCCGCACCACGGAAGATGTACTTGTTCAAAAACAGTCCCCAAATCAAGTCCTCATACTGCCATGTCTGGCGAAGACCGGAGAGCTGCACATACATGGCACCATCATCTTTCAGCATATCATAGCATTGGCGGAAGAAGGTGGTGAGCTTTCGAATGCCGACGTGCTCGCCCATTTCGAGCTGCGTGATTTTATCATACTGGGCATGAGGAATGTCGCGGTAATCCATACACAGAATACGGCTCTGTGCTTCGGTGATCCCTGCCTTTTGGAGAGCATCATTGCCCCAGGCTGTCTGGTGGCGTGCAATGGTGAGACCGGTCACCTTCGCTCCATAGTTGAGACTTGCGAATTTCGCCAGGGTTCCCCATCCACAGCCGATGTCTAACATAGTTTCGCCATCCTTAAGGCCGAGCTTTTCGCAGACGATCGCCATCTTGTTATCTTGCATTTCCTCCAGTGTTTCCTCTTTTGACGTGTCGGAGATGATACCGGAGGTGTAGATCATGCGAGGACCCAGGAACCAAGCATAGTGGTCGTTGCCACGGTCGTAGTTTGGACGGATCTGTTGATCGTCTTGGGATTTCGTGTGGAGCAAAACGTCGCGAGCGAAGGTCAGGAAGATGTACTTGAACAGATCCCAGGTGAAACCAAAGTGGGCCCAATCATGGCGGTATTCTAGGATGTCGAGGGTATCTCCGTTAAAGTCGACGACGCCATCGAGATACATTTCAGAGAATGTCTGAATAGGGACACGTTTCTTCCCATGCCATTTGGCACGGTCAGCCTCGTTTTTGAACTTCAAATACTGTTCTATCGGTCGCCCCGGCAGTCTGACTTTGTCGTTCATGCGAGAACCACAGGAGGATGTCCATGTCCAGTACCCAACCAGAATTGGCACGGTCGTGATTAGACCAAGGAATATAGTCGCCTTCACACCGCGGCCAAGTAGATAAGCGAGGATGGCCGGGACACCCACCAGGAGACCGATTAGGAGCGAATTAGAGAAGCCCTGGTTGCCAGCACCATCAGCTGGCAGAGGCGCATTGTGGATGGCCGCCGACTGACAGAGTTAATCAGTTAGCAATCGGTCACATGGCAATAACTGAGAGACTGACATCTGTGATGGGTACACCACAATCCTTAGGCGTTTCGAACTTTGAGGTTTTGGCTGGTGGTGTTTGGATGAAACGAATGTCGCTGTCAAGGTCAGGGGGCGGCATAGCGGCTGTAGGCAGACTTTTCCTGGTGACTTTTGTCCGTGGCTCTAAATGATGAGAACAAGTCAAGGACACAACAGGAGGAAATGGACACACAACAACAATAATGATACACCTGCCGTGTCTCGGCTCAAGTCGAGAGCCGGGTCCCGCGGGCACCGAGCTTGCTCCATTATGACGGAGGGATCTGCAAGGGGATTCTACTAACTTGGCCAATAATATACCCCAATTATAATGATTTGCCTGACCTGGCTACAAAAATATAGCATGTATGACAGAGTTTGTATCGGAAGAGATTAGTTCTTCAACAGGTGCAGCATACTCAGACCCAGTATAGCTTGTATTTATCTCGTGTTCGAAGACATGATTAAGTGATAGGATATTCGGTAAGTCAACTATGGAGCAAGCCTTCCACCAACAAGGAAGCGGCTTGTAGATAGCCTACATAGGCAACATTTCTAAATTTCAGATTTGGAAAGAAGCTAGGTCGAACGGAAGTATGAACATAGTTGCCCAACGAAATTTATCTAAGATACTGATCGCTATTCACCCCTGAACTGACTCAATTATCTGATCCCGCGGGCACCCCAGCTTTTCCATGCACTTGAAGAACGCGTCAGGTTCAACCCAATCCTCCGGACAATAGACACCCGCACATCCCTGCTCCTCAAGGTCAAGAGCCAAAAGGGCAAAAGCGGCACAGGACGCTCCGATTGAAGTTGCCATGCCTTCTCCAAAGGGCGAGTCCTTTCGAGAAATGGGGCTGCGCTTGATGATTACTGCAGGATGTCCATTGCGGGTGCCAACACCCCGAACAAGCAGACTAGAGCGAGGAGGCGGTTTCTTGCCTCGCACAAAGTTCACTAAATAACCCAGTGCCTCGCCTGTTGTGCATTGGCCTTTGCGCACCTGACCAACCATGCCCCAGAGGGCGAAGTTTAGCGGTTTCAGTGACGAGACGCTGTCGGAGGCCAGCTGATAAAGCTGATTTAGAGTGATGTTGCCACCCTGGAGCTGCGCGGTGACTGCGCTCAACATGCCACTCCAGCTCGCAGATGGTTTGCTTTGAATGTGCTGTAAAAAGTCCACAGCGGCATCCATAGACAGGGCACCGGAGTTGACTGCGGCACCTAATCCACGTGCAAGCCCATTGAAAGGTGCCGGGTTCAAAGCACCTAGTGCGCGAATTCGGTTTACATTAGGAAATCGGCGAGGGAGTGTCACTGGCTCCGGGTGGATGCTTTCGTAGAAAAGCTGGTTGGAACCTTCAGCAAGAGGGGCATGGGATGTCTCAACCCAGTTCTCATGGACTGTTGCCTTCCCATCGGCCCAAGTGAGGCAAGATCCCCCAGTAATGTCCATAAGATGTTCCAGAACCTCTCTACCGAGCTCTCCGCCTTCCTCGCTCACGAGCCAGCAGATATCAATGGAATCAACATTATCGAGCTCTTGAGATATCTCGACAGCGAGAAGATTTGTCATACCAGGAGAAGAGCCGCAGTTTATGTAACACGGAATGCCGGCTTGCTTAGCCCGCTCATGTAAGCTCAGAGACACCTGTGTGCTGTGGACGTCATCGGAATAGTCGAGATATGGCACCTTCGCTTCGATGCATGCGGTGATCACCGGTTCCGAGGTCCGGTGGTATGGCTGTGCGCCCTGGATTACAAGGGCGCCGTCTGCAATTGTAGCGCGGAGATCTTCCGGTTTGAAAATATCCACTGTCCTTAGAGCGACATCTTTGCCGGGTAACTTGGCAGCGACATCACGAAGAGCATCCTGGTTGGCATCAAGGAGGACAATTGGGCGATCCGTTGCTTTAGCGAAGATTCTGATAGCTTCGCTGCATATCGCATCGGCAGCACCGACAAATATGACAGGCTTCTGAACCTGGGGGTCTCCACCCATGTTGGGCATTTTGCGTTGATTGGGAGATGGAGGCAGGCTAGCTGGTGGTATTTGATTGATGCACGTTTACTAAACGAAAATATTGTCTCTCGACTTCATGAACCCATACATGTATATAAACACATCACAGGCTGTTGCCGAGGTGGGTTACCTCCAACGTGTCGACACTGCAAGCTGGCCCGCGGGTCCGGGGTCGATATGAGGAGTGCAAAATATCACGCTCGAACAATGGTGATCCAAGCAACGGGTGACGATGACAGAAGTTAGATTGCTGACTATACGGTTCGGAGCCGCGGAGCCGCTGAGCCGCTCTGAACCTAATACGGGCCATAGTGAGTCTGGCTGTCAGTAAACCAGGAACCTTTCTCAGGAACACATACCCCGGGGGCCAGAGGAAGGTATGGTGGTGCGGGTCGGATGAAGGTCGTTTTTCTCCGTGTGAGGATAGCATAAATAACAAACCTCAGCCTTTGGTTTCAGGTATCCTTCATACCCAGCCCAAACACCTGAAATCAAAATCAGTTTCCCTTTTCAATCCTCAGTATGACCAACGTCAATCTTCCAGAAGAGCTTTTGCTTAAGCTCGCCAGCCAAGTCGTTCAAGACCCCGGGATTCCGGTCCCCAACCCGACCGTTTCAGCGTGGCAAGAGCCTGCCCATCCTCTCTCGGCCACCCAGTCGAAGGATCTACCGGACTACACTGATTTTGCAGTCATTGGATCTGGAATCACCGGCTGCAGTGCGGCTAAGACGATCCTTGAAAGTGAACTGGGACTCGATAAGAAGGTTACCATATTTGAAGCTCGTTCTTTGACCACCGGCGCAACAAGTCGCAATGGAGGGTTTTTATTGAGCCATGTCCCTCATGTCTATGGGCGCTTTGCAGACGCGCACGGCGTTGAGGCAGCCAGGGAGATCGCTCAATTTGGCGATCTTAACCTGGAAGAGATCATTCGGATTGCCAAAGAGGAGAATCTCGATAAGGTTAGCGAGATTAGAGACGTTACTACGGTTTCCAGCTTTGACAACGAGGAGGACTTCGCCGATGCCACTCGGTCTCTTCATATGTACGAGGAAGCTGTTCCCGAGTCCAAAGGCAAATATAAAATTATTGCTGGGGAGGCGGCGGAGAAGGTACGGAAGTTTATTGAGAGAGCTTGACTCAAATTCTGGCGCAGTTCTGACCACCTTCAATAGGAATATCATCTCAAGAGCTCCAAGGGTGCTTCCGTGGTGAAATCGAAGGTGTTTTGGCCGTATCGGCTGGTGACAAACATTCTCCAGCGCCTGCTCGAACGTCACCCAGATCGTTTCTCCATCGAGACAAACACGGCGGTCACTTTGATTACTCTCTCCAGCGATGCCGACAATACATATCCATATGTGCTCACTACACCCCGCGGAACCGTCAGAGCCGCCAAGATCTTCCACTGTGTGAATGGCTTTAGTGGTCACCTTCTGCCCAAGCTCAGGGGGCCTCTCTTCCCCTGTCGACTTTCCATGTCAACGCAAAAGCCTGGCCCCCAGTGGGGGAATGTTCCATATTCTTGGCTCTTCCACACAAAGCAATCGTGGGACCCGGATACTACCTTAGTCGAGCAAGGCCTTTACTGGATGCAACAAAATGCGCAGACCGGCGATCTTTTTGTTGGAGGTGACCTGCAGAGACTGGACGACTTTTTGTCCTCAGATGATTCACTCATCAGTGCGGACTCCGTGGGTAACCTCACCAATTTACTTCCAAAGAAGATCTTCACCGACGGCTGGACCAATCCAATCACCAATACTACGCTATCCTCTGCGACGGTAATCCAGAGGGTCTGGTCTGGCATTATTGGCATGACTGCTGATCAACTACCCATTGTGGGAAGTGTTCCCAGCACTGTGAGCGACAGGAATATTGAAGGAGGAGAGTGGGTCGCCGCGGGCTTTAACGGATATGGCATGTCTCAAGCCTGGTTGTCTGGTCAGGCTATCGCACTGATGGCATTGGGACAGCCGAAGCCTGACTGGCTCCCTGACGTGTACTTGAGTACTGAGAAACGTCTGACAGACAAGGCGACCATGGGTGAAGAGGCGGCGCTGGCTTCTTTCTTCCATAGATAAGCAACGGACATGGACCTTTGGTGACATCAGTAATCCTAGAGATGGGGGAGAATAGTTGAGGATAAAGAATCACTGTAGAATATGAAAGGGAGAGGAACGAATAACTGTGCAAAACCGCGCATTTCGATGAGCAGCCTTTTACACCGCGTTGTGTACATCCCCTTATGCGTAAAGATTGTATTTCTCAAGGAAAAAGAAGTTCTTGTAAGGCTGGGAAGGTCGGTCAATACGTTGTTGGGTAAGTGAGCCAACAGACCTCGGGATTTCTTTCACTTTTCCACCCTCAATTTATCTCGCAACAGTCTTTCTCCATACAGACCTTCCCCACGTACCCTTCACGATAAATGGTAGCACTCAGACAGTGGCACTAATATGTACAGCCAAGACACCTCACAATTTGCGAAATCATACGACGTACTTCGAAAGAAAAGCTCACGTCAAAATGCTGATAGGGTGAGAAAGATGCTGACGAGTCCAGGAGACCAAAGATGGCCTGCAGATGTTGCCATATATCGACCATAATAGGTCTGCTAAGAAACTATTTCAACCACTCCAAGCCTGCCTTGACGTCACCCCACCGTGCAATGGTTACGTCCCTCCAGAAGTACGAGCGCGGCTGCCACGGACCTGTAGACGCAGTCTTGGGAAACGCATTTCCGCCATTTTTCACATATGTCGCCTTCAATGCCAGAAATGGGCGTTCTTCTAATGCCTGCCTTTCCTCTGCCATCATTCGCGGCACTATCGCTGAGACACTCTCTTTCCTCATCCGTGTCAGCAAGCGGGACGCTAGCTGCGCCGTTGAGTCTGCCCCGAGCGTCCAGCTTGCGTCGACGTAGCCCCATGATAACACCAAATTCGGCAGGCCCTCCACCATGGCAGCTCTCCAAGCAAAGTGATTTGATATTTCATACGGCTCGCCGTCGACAGTAATGGTGATACCACCGGCCGTGCATAGCTTTAGCCCGGTCGCAGTTACGATGATATCCGGATGAAGCTCCTTTCCGGAGGTGAGCTTTACGCTGGACGCTGTAATCGTTTCAATCATGCCAGTATTGACGCTTCCTTTTCCGCTCCGAATGCAAGCGTAAAAGTCACCGTCAGGACAAAAGCACAAACGTTGCTCCCAGGGGTTATAGGAAGGCACGAAATCCGGCTCCAGGTTAAAGTCCGGGGGTAGGAGTTTGGCCGTCTCGCGGAGGAGGAAAGATTTCGCTGCACGAGGGAAAAGACGGCAGATCGACACCATGAAAAATGAGAAAAGCATCCATTTGAGGCGTATGACTCGATTGGCTGCAAAGCAGGGTAGAACCTTTGAAACGATGGTCTCAAAAGCTCCTTGGCTGGGAAGGGATGCGATATATGTCGGTGAGCGCTGGAGCATGGTTACGTGCGCAGCCCTTGTGGTGAGGGATGGAAGTAGCGTGATCGCGGTGGCACCAGAGCCAATAATAACGATCCGCTTGTTGGTGTAGTCGAGGTCAACAGGCCAGAACTGGGGATGAACGACTTTTCCTTCGAAATTGTGTATTCCGGGAATGCTCGCCCGCAGTGGTTCCTGGTAGTCATAGTAGCCTGTGCCGAGGAAGACGAAGCGAGACCTCAGAGATATCATTTTCGCGTCCTGGGTGCTGATGTCGAAAGTCCACATATTAGATGAGGATGACCAATTCAACCTGTTTACCTTGTGGGAAAAACGTATCCTCCTGTCGATCCCTTCTTGGGCGGCTGAGTCTTCAAGGTACTGGCGAATGCTAGAGCCATCAGCAATGGAGTGCTTTCCTGTCCAGGGACGCCATGCAAAGCCGAAAGTATAGAGGTCGGAGTCCGATCTGACACCTGAGTGTTTAAGGTCAGAAAAAGAATTCAAATCTGAAACCATATCGATGGAAGAGCTCACCCGGGTACTGGAATAGGCTCCAGGTTCCGCCAATTTCATGTCGGGCTTCGAGAATGCAGTAGCTGAGGTCCGGATTGGACTCTTGGATACGATAAGCAAAATTAATGCCGGAGATGCCAGCACCGACAATGATGACATCAAAATCTGGCATTTCTTTGTGTGCAGCCATATTGACTTAGCTCACGTGTTCCTTGTCGTCTGGATGCTGCGTTTTGCAGCCTGTGATCCTAGATCCATAGGGGCTACGGAATAGTCATATAAGTCCCTTCAAAAGCTATGCCATTCGTATTGCGCTCCAGCCGATAAGCGTCAGTGGTGAGTTCTCGGAGCCGCGGAGCCGCGAAACAATCAACAACACGCAGTCAATACCCAAATGGCCGCAAATATATCCATGACCCGCGGGATCCGAGCAACTGGGCTGGCTTCCACTTCCCCGTTCGTCTGCCGAATTGCTCTCGAGGGAATTGTTGGGTGGCTCTTTCCGTTTCCTGGCTGCCGAAGTGGATCTATGCCCCTTTCAGTCCTGGAGCCTATACGGAGTATATATTGTAGTCCCTTGTTCCGTCAGCAAAAAAAGGCCTTCCAATTCAGCCCAGCAAAATTCTTTGGAGACAGTGTCTCATTCAATCTACTTTTATCCGCCAACCGGTGAAACTGTCTCTCGCTAGAATGGATAGGCTATTCGATGTCGCTGTGATCGGGGCCGGCATGGCCGGCATCGTTGCAGCTCGTGACCTCAGCAAGAAAGGCTATGAGGTGGTCTTGTTAGAGGCCCGCGACCGGATTGGAGGACGAACCTATATGGATCACGCTTGCGGTACAGTACTTGAACTTGGAGGAGCCTATGTGCACTGGACACAACCGCACATCTGGGGCGAGCTTCAACGTCTCGGAATTTCTGTCAACGCTCCGACGCAGGAAGGAAGGAGTTACTGGCTTGCCGATGGAGCTGTACACTCTGGCAGCCCCGAAGATTTCTATGGAATCGTGGCTCCACTTCTAGAACGACTGTTCGCAGATAGCCGTGCTCGATTCCCGATGCCGTTTGACCCTACCGCAATCGACAACACGGAGATTGAGAAAGAATCTATTGAGGACCGCATCAATTCGTTGAATGTATCTTCACACGAGCGGGATGTGTTGGAGGCAGCATTGTCTGGTGTGGTACATTCCTACAAAGATCACGGCATTGCCCAACTGCTCCATGCGGTGGCTACATACTTTGGAAATTTCGGCGCCTTCCTCGAGACGGCCGGCACCTGGAGCATCCAGGGCGGTACCAAGAGACTGATAAATGGTATGCTGGATGAAACGACTGCCAAGCTTCTACTTTCCACGCCAGTGGACTCCATTGCCGATGAAGGTTCCCAGGTTACCATTGGAACCCGGGATGGCCAAAAGATCCATGCCCGTACGACAATCGTTGCACTTCCAATAAACACCATTGGCGACGTGGACATTACACCAGCTTTGCCGCATGCGGCGCAATCCATGATTGCGAAGAAGAACCCAACGCTGGCTGGCAAGCTCTGGATCCGGGTTCGGGGGGAGATCGAGCCCTTTAGCATTTATGCACCGGCTGGGAAATATCCGCTCAATGCCGCAAGGACTGAGAGACATTTTGACGGGGATACTCTCGTTCTCTGCATGTGCTCCGATGATGCTGCTATTCGTAGCGAAGATCGCTTGGGGGTGCAAGCTGCGCTGCGAAAGTTTATACCAGGTATTGAGGTTGTCGATATCGCGTACCATAGTTGGGTCGGTGATGAATTTTCCAAGGGAGGTTGGATGATGAACCGCCCTGGATGCTTTACTACTGGTGCCGTGGAACTTCGAAAACCACATGGCAACATTCATTTCGCAGGGAGTGACATTTCTGTGAGTGAAGCAGGTTCAATTGAGGGTGCTCTGTCAAGCGGTGCACAAGCCGCTCGTGATGTCTCTGTCAAACTGACCAAAAGGCATCTAAAGATCTAAGTAAGGAATCCTCAAGAGGGTTTAGTTTGCTTAGATGTTGTGTTCTCTTGCTCATTCTGAAATTTGAATCCGAGAGGCAAATAGCCGGTCGAATCCCTCCTCAATTTAAGGTTCTTCATTAAACTTCCAGGTAACTCAATTCTGACTATAGAAAAGCATTTGACAACTTAAAGTCACAATGCCCTAGACCTACATGTTAGAAGCGTCGGTGGCGGGATTAACCCGGACCCCGCGGACCCCGCGGGTCCGTAATAAGCATCACCGCCCTTCTATCTCTTGGCCCAGGTAGGCTTCCTACTACGACCTTCCTTTTCATGACCTTCACATAGACGGTGGAATGCGTCCATTGTCTCCAAAATACTTTACTGACCCTGCTGACTGCACTTTTCGTGTTTGTTTGTTATTCTAGCGAATCGGAATACTGCTTATGGAGATCGGAAGTATGGCATTTGCCAACCTATACGGTTTTCCTAGCGATCACGACTTGCTTAATGTTGAAGATGATGACTACAGTCACGGTCTGGGCGCGTCGATGCTCCAAAGTCACATCGCGTTTCCTTATCCTTTGGAACCCCTTGCACACTCCGGGATATTTGCTCCGCCCTCTGCTTTTGACGTGGGTCTGTCCTCCACCCTGGCCAACAAAGCAGACCCGCAGCAGTTGGACAGTGGAGCCTCGGATCCACCAGATCGTTTCCATCTCTCCCAGGCTGCCGACATACTCAGATATCCTCAGACTGAAATCGACCAACAAGCTCAAGAAAAATTCCCTACAGCCCCACAGAACAAAACACCAGCGAGTAAGCGGGGGCCACGAAGACTTCGAAGACAAAACCACTCGTGCGATCCCTGCCGTTCAGCGAAAAGGGCCTGCGATTTGCCGCCCAATGCCAACCACGTGGATAATCTTTCTTCATCACCATGTTCCATGTGCAAGCTACGAGGCACCGACTGCACGGTTGTATGGCGTGCGAGCAAGCAATCCCATAAACCAAAGAAGTCGGCGTCTGTTTCTTTCGTTAAGAGTCATTCTACCGACCATGACCTTGATTCCATCAACAAGTACACCGACGATTCTCTCTCACCTACCACCCCCAATAGCTTATCGAGCCACGAGTCTGTCCTAGTCTGCCATATGATGACTTCCGAAACATGCGCTCAGAAATTGGATGTATACATTGACATATTCGATGACCCAATGTCAAAACTTCTTTCGAAGAGGTGCATGGCTCCTTGCTACTCTTTGGGGATTGCCGCTTTAACACCACTGAGCCGCAATACACAGCTGGCTGCACATTTTAGCCAGGCTCAATCGAGCATCAAGAATAGCTGGGAAAAGGGTTCTTCCCCTCGGCCAACTTCCGCCGCGTCACGGTTGTTCCTTACAGCTAGTATTCTTGACTCGCTATTTCAGAGCCCCAATTCCCACTCTAAATGCGCACGATCGGTATCGCGCGATAACGCCTTGATTGAAACCTACAAGTGGGTTGCCATTGCAACTGGGTCGCAATTTTCTGTCAACGAAAGCGATGCGGAGAACATGTGGAAGTCTCACAAGCAAACCAGAGACGTTGCATACGCTACATGGTGCAAGGCAAAACATATGGTGTTCGAGAATATTGCAAACAAGTCATTTCGTCTTGGATTATCACTCCTTCTCTTTGGTATAATCCTACCCCCCACTGAGTCGGACAAGAGCTGCGAGTTTGAAGAGGACGCTGCCTACGCACTCCACGAGGGCCTTCGTCGACTCCATACGCTATGCGCTGAGGCTCGTGCTTACCTCCAGAATTGCAGTACCCAGTCGGCTCTTCTTACACCTTTGATGGGCCTGCGAAAACCATGTTTGCTGCAAAATTTGTCCACTGGCGCCCTTGAAAACGTCCTAGAGCTGATCGCAGCTTTTGAATGGCTTGTTGAGATGTTACAATCAGTAGCCATTTCCCTCTTCCCATGTCGAAGTTTTACTTTTGCACTGTCTATTGGTAACTTTAGTGCCGAGCACAGCCACTCGATAGAGAAGGTTACTCAGAGGTCCGATGGTAAGAGCGTGGATAATGGGCGAGACTCGAACACAATGGATGATGCCATTATCGCGCGGGTCACGGCAGGATCCCCAACCGTGACAGTGTTATGGAGTCAAGGCTTTCCGGAGCATCTTGTGCATAGCGCCTTGCTTGAGTCTGGGTCCGTCGTCATCTTAGTGTGGAAAGCACTCGCTCGCTTGACTCTATCAATTCGAAAAGTGGGCGCCGGCGATGCCAACTACACAGAGATTCATCATCGTTTTAACATGATGACAATGCTCATTGATCTATGGAGAACGACATTTGGTACCGTTGACCATGCCTCGGCTTTGAGTTTGCAACTATCAACGGCCAATGTGCGGCGCGGTGTATTATTCTGCGCTACTGATGGCAACCTCGGGGTGCTTCTATTCTACGAGCTTTGCTGCCAACTTCAGAGGCATCTGGAGGACCAGCCACAATCTCTAGGAAACAAACTTCGCGAAACGCTAAATCTAACCCGGAATTACTCGAATTACCAACGACTTACAAGCGCGATGCAAATTTCCTACCTCACCTCAGCGACTCACGGGCTTTCAAGCCCGGGCTTCCAAGGAGAAGGTGGACTGAAGTCGAATATCGAAGACATTCGGGCACACCCAGTGAGTGGAGCCCGCCTTTTATCGGTTTACTTCTCACACTGAACACTGCACAGCATCCTACTATGGTGGTGCAAGCACACCGACTAGCCGCCAAGTGCTTTGCAGAAGAAATTCAGAACTCCGTTCACACAGTAGATATAAAACGTATTTCAGACCTATCTGCTTCTCTCGAAAGCTGTCTGCGGGAGCTGCAGGGACTTCAAAATGCTCTAGTCATGTACCCAGGCGCAGAACTGGGTGATGAGAATGTAACATCGTCTTGAACTCTGTGAGCACTGGGTCTCTCTATGTTAGGACAGGCTTAGTGTCGTTAAATGGGTAGGAACACCAACGACTGATTTCGGGCAAGATGTCCTTGGAAATGAATATCCTTTCTCAAAACAGGGCGAGGTACATAATGATAAACTCTACGCTTCTACCATGAACACCTATTTTTTCTGTTTCGCCATGCGCTAGTTGCGTTGTTGCAACGGCTCCGCGGGTCCCGCGGGTTCAGAGATATGCGGTCAAAGATATATTGTACGAGGTGAATCGGAACCGCAGCCAAAGTCACCAACTACTCAGCTTGGGAAACTGCCCCTCACTTTCCGCGGCTAATCAGATTCACAGTAATATAATTTTAGTCGAGAGGGGAACGCATCCTGTGATGAGGGAATTTGGACACGAGCAGACTATAAAGAAACGACACAGAACAAGTTCCTCTTACTTCCATACCTTCCTGACAATCTTAAATTCCGCAAGCATGTCAAACTCCTACAATTTCAAGCCCGTCGTGTTCATCGGCGCTGCTGGCGAGATGTGTCGAGTTGCGGTGGAGCGCTTCGCCAAAGCAAGCGATGCTCAGCTTGTCCTTGCGGATATCAACACCGCTGTCATCGAATCTCTTGCCACCAAATTCCCAACAGGCCGAGCAACAGTCCAGAAGCTCGATCTCTTCAACGAACCTGCCCTAGCCAATCTAATCAACGGCGCCGGACTGGTTGTTCTGGGTGCCGGGCCTTATTCTAAGACCGCCCATCCAGTCGTCAAAGCTTGTATCAAGGCCAGAGTTCCGTACCTCGATTTTGACGACGATGTCGAAAGCACTCAAGCCGCCCTCGCCCTCACCGATGAAGCCAAAAAGGCCGGGGTACCTCTCTACATCGGTTGCGGTGCTTCGCCCGGCCTGAGTAATGTCATGGCTATGGATGCTACCCGCGAACTGGACTCTGTTGATAGCATTGACATTTGTTGGCTTGTAGGTGATGAACCTTCGGTTGGTAAAGCAGTGCTTCAGCACTTGATGCACATTGCTGCTGGTCCATGTCTCACATGGGTGAATTCGAAGCCAACAGTGAACGAGTCTTGGGTTGGGACCACCTATGCGCCAATGTATACCGAAGACGGGGAGAGACTATTGCATGAAACCGCTCATCCCGAGCCGGTGACACTCCCTCGTCTTTTTCCAAATGCGACTCGGATCCAGTGTTTCGGGTCGCTTGATCCCAAGCCACTTAATGGTATCGCTCGCGGTCTTGGCTCTGCTGTTCGTGCAAAGGCACTGTCGATGAACGATGCAGTTGATTTCCTGTACAACCTGGCAAGCAAGCCGCCCCTGGGGGGGGCCTTGGGTGAGGGATTTGGAGCGCTGAAAGAGCAGCTTCGGGGTGGAGACATCACTCTCAATGAACTGTACCAGTTGGTCAGTCGCTCTATTGGCCCCTTGCGATACGCTCTGTGGGGAATGCTTGAACAGATCTGGAATGGCGAGTGCACTGTAACTGAGGTTGTGACGTACATCCTAAATTCAGTGACTGGCACAAAAATCGAAAACAGAGGCAACATACTTGTGCGAGCAGTTGGTATGCGGGGTGGCGTTCCAACGGTGATCACGAAACGCAATCCGAAGAATGGCAAGGACTCCTATCTGTGTCAGAGCATGGGCACAGTTACTGGAACTTCAACTGCTGCGTTTATGGTTATGGCACTTGAAGATGGCAATCAGCGCAGTGGTGTTTTCTGCCCTGAGGACTGGGCTGAGCCCGAGATATTTTATAGAGCCTTGGAGCGCGTGGGAGTCCCAAAGGATGAGCTTATCGAGACCATCTAAGCGCCCTTATGTAAATACAATGGACACAATTACATCGAATCCTTGTTCTTTGATCCAGGAGTAGATTAATCCTGCAACTAATAACTCAATTAGGGCATTCTTTGATGTGACAGTGATGTTTCTGAACATTCCGGGTTTTTGCACACCGATGAAACAGATCTATCAATCTATCTCCTATGAAATCAAATTGTCCGCTTCAACACTCTGACCTAGACCTGCCGTAATCATATCCAAGCACACAGTCATGCTGTGACACTTTCCCTTCAATATACGTACTCAAAATTCGGGTTTTGTGCGTCAGTCAAATCAGCGAAGGCCGTAGAATCGGCCATAAGCTCGTCCTCACCCCCTCTCACCCGCAATTCATCGCGCATCCTCTCCTTTCGTCGGTTCTCCCAGATAAAGGCGTAGCGAAGCACAAAGAAAAGGGCGAGCTCAAGGCAGTTGGCAACTAGCAGAGAGCCAATGCCCAGAGGGTATCCCGGCGCTTGTTCAGATTTGTAAAAGAAGGGGCTAGCAATGTTGCCGATGCATGCTCCAAACCAGATCATACCGGACACGATCATTTTCTTAGACTGTCCACCGGTGTTGGAGGTAATAAGGGAAAGGGATATCACAAAGGAGGCTTGGTATGACCCAGTGAGATAGCTAGATTTGGGGGGATCAATTAGTGACTGGTTTTTAATCACAAGCATCAGTTGGATATACTTACAAGCAGATCAGTCGGCCGACGTATGCATTGTCGGGGGCGAGCAAGAAACCGAGGGCACCCGCAATAGTCGGGACCATGAATAGTGCGCAGACCATGGTACGGCTATTCTTCGGCATATATTGGTTGGCATATCCTCCAAGCACAATCCAAATAACTACGATTACTCCTTGAGGTATACCAAGAAGTGCTGTGTGGAGTGTATCGAAACCGAGGCCTTGGATGACCAAAGTGGAGAAGTTTGATATTCCCCCGTTTGGAATGTTGGCAAGAAAGCCCAAGATGGTAAATAGCCAAGTCTTATAATCGAGATATGCCTCTTTGACTTGACCCCAGTTAATTTTCCGTCCCTCAATACCGGTCTGGTTAGATCGCAGTCGCGCAATCATCATAAGCTTCTCATCACGATTGAAGCCCCAAAATGTTGCCGGTGAATTAGGCAATAGTAGAGCCAGTGCAATTCCCCAGGCGGAACAAACAGCACCGATAATGAGAAACTCGTAGCGCCAGGATTGAAGACCACCTTTTATATTGCCGATTCCATAACCTAAACACGACAATAAGCTGCTACTCCATTTAGGATAATCCCGAATGAAACATACCAATAAGACCGCCGCCGACGACACCGATGCCATTCCATAAATAGTACGCCGAGATACGCCAAGGTTGCTCGGCACGGGTATAGTATGTGGAGACGACGACCATAAACGCAGGGTCAGCAATCGCCTCAAACGCGCCAGAAAGGACCCGAAGTGCCGCAAGTGCATCGAAGTTCTGCGATGCAGCCTCACACATGAGGAGCACGCCCCACATGAAGATGTTGAAGGCGAGATACCAAGCCAGCCGCCGGCTCCGTTGCATGAGCAGGTTAGACGGGATTGCCCAAACTAGCCATCCAAAATAGAAGATACTTGACAGCCACGAGTATTCTGTACCGACTAGATGGAGGTCCTCTTTGATGCCAAATATTGCTGCGTAGGAAAGTGTCGTCTTGTCAACATACTATTAGAGACAGATGGTGTTAGCTGTGGCCTAAAAAGAGGGAGATTTGAGCCGACCAACATACATAAAAAAAGTAGCATATTCCAAGGAGTGGAATGAGGTGTATGTCAAGCTTGCGTTTCAACCTCTTTTCTGCGTCTTTATCGATAGCCTCATCATTAGGATATCTCTGAATTGCTTCGAAATATAGTTCACTATCTTCTCCTTGGTTGATTTTGCCCGCCACCGATGCCTTGAGGTCCTCCTCTATGTGCTGGATATCATATCCGCTCTGCGGCTCCAGAACCTCTGGAAGGTTTTCTTTCTTGCCCTCCATACTGGAGTGCCGAGTTTCTTATTCAAGATCAGTATCCACAGGTGTAACCAGTGGAAGGGGTATTGAAGAATAATTGTTAGCAACAACAATATATAGGACGACTAGCACAATATAGAGCCCCCCGGCGTGAAAAGGTGGTGATTAGAATTCCAAGTCAGCCAAAGTCCCCATTGGTGGGATAGATTTTGCGGGGAAATAGGATCAGCGCAAGATTGGGGTAAAGTCAGTGGGGTTACGTTACTCTACTTGACTGTGTCCTCTGTACACTGCGAAGAACTATCTCCGTATGTGAAATAGAGTGGTTCCACAGCTTGTAGGTTAGATGAATTCCCCTGATCATGGACAAATAATCGTCATTATGAGAGCAAATTAGGGAAGGAAGAACATTCGATGGGTTTTCAAGCTATAGCGAAGCCGGACAACCTCCGAGTATTGATGCCGAAAGGATTACACTACCAGAACCGACGATGTCATTCCTAACTCGAACTCGTTCCGGGTTTCGTCCGGTAATTGAGTACATATTACAACTGTGTGCCTGCTGGGATATTTAAGAGATATCAGAATAGAAGCATGTCTTTCGAGAAGTATATATAGCATGTGGAGGTAAGAGGTTTGCATACCCGGCATTGAATTCCTATAGGCAGCCACCATTGTAAAGATCTTATTTTCACGTCTGTGATTAGAATCCCCGCGGTTTCTAGTTATGGGTCGGTACAGACATGTGTGGGGGAGTTGCGTTGAAAGGCGCGTGGGGGGATTGCATTGGAAAAAGCAACGTGGGGACCGGGAATTCCCCAGGGGCCACCGCGCTACCGCACAATCATAATGACCGGGAATAATTGCCGGGCAACCACTTCCTGCAGCCACAATATCCACAATGGACCTTTTTAGCAATTGGCATAGAGATCGGCATATGAATCATCTCTTCTTTGGTACCGCCAATAGTCACATGAAGCACCGATAGTATCAAGTGGTCCACCCAAATGCACCGGCAAAAATAGATCAGAGATCCGATAAGGTCAATAAGAGCCCAGCTAACCCAAGAAGGAAGTTGCCTTTCATCCTTCTCGTATGGCAGTTTTCCAACCTAGCCAGCCACTATAGCCAGCCACTATAGCCAGCCACTACCCCCTGGAGCCGGGTGTCTTCGCCAAGAAAGCCAACCCTGGGATGCCGGGTTAAGGGGTCGCGGTTCTTGGCGAAGACTGGTTAGAGGCTTATCTCGTCCAGTGTTTCAGACTCTTGACTCACCTTTATATTCTATTAATATGATAGAAATCTGAGATGGTACAGCAGCATGTGGTGATATCGTATTCAAGTTTAATCGACAACCAGGATGTTGACTCGATATCCTTGGATGCTCAGGGAGATGCGACTGGGCAAAACTGGCAGAGCGGGGAGGCAGAGAATTTGGGTTCGGCTTCCTTTGATCTATGTGACGTGCTTCTTCAGTTGCGCAGGGAATGTCAGCTCTTAAATCGAACATGCAGCGTGTGATCCGGGTGTAGCAAGACACTTTCCTTTCTTCTGGTGAGATCAACAATCCAGGGTCCATTTGATTGAGATGCCTGAGATATCTCCTAGTCTGAGATCAGACCTCGCTTTCTTTTTTTGTTGTTTCCGAGCCTTTAGCTTAGGTCACGTGATGCTATGAGTGTTCCAAGGTTGTTGCCTGGTCTGCCAGGCATGAAAATGGCTGCACGTGTTTGTTGTGAGGCTGCAAGATTTTCTCTTGTCTGTCTCTTCTTCTTGATAGACAGGCCTGATGACCCAAAAAACCAATCTATGATCCGTCGTGGGCCCTATTAGGGACCACCTAAATATATATATATATATACATACTACCAGGTATATATACGGTCCCGGGTAGAGTTGAGATCCCGCATCCTATCCATCCCGCCAGCTGCCATATCTGGAATAGAGTTACAAAGTAGAGGTTTGACAAGGCTTAGCGATATCCAGCGACTAATAACCTAGAGAGTATACATGCATAAAAAAATTTAGATTAATATTGTTTTCAGCACGACTTCCGGTCAAATTTCGGTGCATAACCACCAGTGATCATCATCGTCAGCTTCTTCATCACTCTTGTTTTTTACTCTCTGCAGAAAACACATTGGTTTCAATTCAGAGATATGCATTTCATTAGAAGTTAATAATAATCACATGCGCAAATTCAACGGATAACTGTCTTATCCCGAAAACCAACCGATCGATCATGTTTCCACACGTGCACACCAAACCATCTCGGCCAATAACTTCCTCCGACATCTAAACCACCCGTCGCCGAAAGTTGGTTCATCTCCGAATTTTCGCTCTCTATTGTGTCTACACTAATCCCAAAATGCGGTAGTGAATCTTTATGCCAGACGACAGTGGATCGAGGTGACAATGCATGAAAACGATCTGCAGACTCAGCGACGTGCGTTGCATTTCGGGCATGATTGGCTCTGATTGCATCCCATCGTCCAGGCATATATTATGCTTATGGTACCTGTGCCGAGGCACGAAATTATATATAGAGGTGAATCATGGAGCCTTCGTGACATAGCCCTAAGATTCTGTGAATCGATTACATTATTTGGTCATGGGGGGAATTTCGTCGCTCAAACTGCTGCCCCTTGTGGCTGGCTGCGTCTTTGCTGGTTACAACTATCCTGAGATTCCGACGGACTTGACTACACCATTCCAGCAGCGACTGACAGTTTATGGACCTGATGGTAAGAAGGCCACTAGATATAATTAATCTGAATGAGGACTGACTTGTTCGTCTCTAGCTGTGTCTGTTGGTTGGAACACCTATGCACAACTGGGCCAGAGTTGCGTGCGTTATGGCTTGTCAGAAAGCAACCTGAATACGAAAGCCTGCTCATCCTCGTCGACCACCTATGACCCCTCCCGGACATGGTCAAATGTCGTCGTCCTAACAGGCCTGAACCCCGCAACAACCTACTACTATGAGATCGACTCCACCAACTCGACCATTGGCCATTTCCTCAGCCCTCGTAAGCCCGGTGACAAAACTGCCTTCAACATGGACGTGGTTATTGATCTGGGTGTCTACGGCAAGGACGGTTACACAAGCAAAAGCGCAAAAAAGGACAGCATCCCAGTCGTCGAGCCAGAACTAAACCATACCACAATTGGCCGCCTCGCGAAAACAGTAGACGACTACGAGCTTATCATCCACCCAGGAGACTTCGCTTACGCAGACGACTGGTATCTCAAATTCGCAAACCTACTCGATGGTAAAGAAGCCTACGAGTCCATTATCGAACAATTCTACGACCAGCTCGCACCAATCGCAGGCCGCAAGCTCTACATGGCCAGCCCGGGGAACCACGAAGCCGACTGCTCCGAGATTCCATACCTGAACAACCTCTGCCCCAAAGGCCAAAACAACTTCACTGAGTTCATGCACCGATACGAGAAAACAATGCCGCAGTCTTTTGTTTCCTCGTCATCCAACACAAAGGCCCAAACTCTGGCTCGAACAGCCCGCAGCCTTTCAAAGCCGCCCTTTTGGTATTCCTTCGAATACGGCATGGCCCACGTCGTAATGATCGACACCGAAACAGACTTCCCTGATGCACCAAGCGGACCAGATGGTTCGGCCAAGCTGAACGGCGGACCATTCGGCACTGCTACCCAGCAGATCGACTTCCTCAAGGCTGATCTCGCTTCCGTTGACCGGAGTGTCACGCCCTGGGTAATCGTCGCCGGGCACAGACCTTGGTACTCAACTGGTAAATCGTCGAACGTCTGCGGCCCCTGCCAAGAGACGTTTGAGGGCCTGTTCTACCAGTACGGCGTCGACCTCGGTGTCTTTGGCCATGTGCACAACTCGCAGCGCTTTATGCCTGTTGTTAATGGTACTGCTGACCCCAACGGCATGAAGAATCCCAAGGCGCCCATGTACATCGTTGCTGGGGGTGCGGGTAATATTGAGGGTTTGAGTTCTGTTGGCAGTAAGCCTGCTTATACAGAGTTTGCGTATGACGACGACTACAGCTACAGTACGATTAGGTTTTTGGACGAGCAGCACTTGCAGGTTGATTTTGTGAGGTCTTCTACTGGACAGATCTTGGACTCTAGTACTTTGTATAAGGAACATGCGACAGATTTCGTGGAGCAGTGATGGAAGTTTGGGGATAATATAGGCTGTTTATTTATTAGAATAATAATCATTCATCGCTTGATCCACTTACCGTAACAACGAACCTAGTTTACGAAACCATTTATCTTCATGGAGGATTACAAGCATGCATCTGGAATTTCATTCTACGACTCGAATAAATCAGAATGTGAAGGCAGAACATATATGGCGTGTTATGATTTAAGTCCTTGATAATGAAATAGGATGTGGATTTTAAGATTTTCTGTTTGTTCTTTTTCAGCACAAGGAGAAAACGTAAGTAGTTTGGATACACGATTATACGGGAACAAAGAGAGTGTGTTCCATAAGAGAACTATTATGTACAGCAAGGAAAGGAAGAAAGAAAAGGCCAAATTTTCCAGATGCTATCCGATATCCAAGGACCCGTCCCATAATTTATTTATATACACTCTGGCCCATATAACCTACGATCTTCAAGGGTCTAACACAACTAATTATAAAAATACAACAACTCATGGTAAATATATGGCTGTCATCGTTGAGACAGCCGACTGTCCCACTCCTTCGGGGGCGTTGTCGAACTACCCACCCCAGGCCCTTCCTGGAACGACCATGGCTCACTGTGCACGACAGTCTCTGAAACGACCGTAATATCCTTCGAGGACGGCTCGGCCTGAGCGAGGATATGCTCATCGCTGCCCCATGCCAAAGTCTGCATATGCGTCGGCGCAGCAGCGCTCGTCTTACTCTTTTTGGTATCACCTTCGCCGCGGTTCGTCAAAGACTTTAGACCTCGGCTGGAGAGCTGGTATGGTTGTCCTGATGTCTTCCCCGAGGAACTGAAAACGTGGTTGAGACCAATCTTCCTGAAGCCCTTGCGGATAAGTGGTTGGATGATGGGCAGGTTGGAGACGATTATTGAGACGAAAGTCTCCCGACAGGCCCATTTCGAGCCAGATTCAGCACCATCGGGGCTGGACTATAGTATGTGTCAGATATATGGCACGTAATAGGCGTGTGTTTTCTGTGTAGGTATTATCATTGCATGTGACGTACCTTCATAATCGTGGCAGCGCGGATAATTCCCGCTATCATGACGAATGTAGCGCCGGAGAAGAGAGCCATAAGAGGAATCTTTCGTTTCAGGTTGAGGTTGACAGTCCAGAGAAGGGGAAGCGGGATTGAGAGAAGGTACATGTCCGTGACAATGTTGAGTACCACGGATACGAAAACATAAACCCGGGAGTTGGTTGGCTGACAGAAATCTATACAAATATAGTAAGATAATAAGACCATCATATCTGATGACTGTATAACTTACTGCCGGGGTCAGGGTAAATCTGCCAAAACGCATGGAAGGGCTGGCATGATAGCAGGATGGACAACGCTGTTGCGAGGTATGTCACACCTAGAATGACATATGCCAGCCGAACTCGGGTGGGGAGGTGTTGGAGGCCAGTCCTGTGATATGTTCAGCGCATTGGTTCATTATACCCAAGATAGTATGTGAAACGCACGTCAATCGAGAGTAGAAGACTGCCAAACTGAATTTGACCAGCCAGAGAATAGCGACATATAATGACCATCCAAGTACTTGGATCTTGGATCCTGCAACACGATTGGACCACTCAGTCGAGTGGGGGTCGAGACTTTCTCGCTGCTCAGGCGTCATGTAGCTGTTAGTCAGGCCTTGGAATTTGGCACCGACGAGGTACGCCGCTACTGTTTCCAGTGTGAACAGGATCTGCCAAAGAAAATTATGTTAATTCTACCTTTTTCGATAGTGTTTACAGGACAGGCGAAACAACGTACTCCCGCCAATGGCATGAGATAATCATCAAGTTGAAAATCGGCCGGTCCAACGAGCTTCCATCGTACCGAAATACGGACTATAATCGTGACCAGAGCCAAGGACAACAGAGTCCATGCCTCCACATTAGCGGGCATTCTCGCAAGTGCTCAGTATTCAGCGAAGTAGAGGACAAAACAACGGAAGATTAGGACGGGAGTTGGAGCGCATTAAAAAGAAAGGCTCCAGCTAGACCGGCCCACTGGGAATGCCTAGGACATAGAGACTTACTATGTACTCCGTACTCCGTAATGTTATACGGGTATCCGACTAGCTTGTCAGGCCAACGACCTAGCGCGAATCATCAACCCCTGGAAGATCATCCATGTCAATTTGCGTAAGCTCCACCCAGCTCCACCGGCGCCACCACCTCCGTCCCGCCCAGGAGGGGCATATCCCTGTAATTGGTGCGGGGCCGGCGATCCGTGTGTCCGACACGGGAGGCATACCCAGACCCACGGGTCATACCACGAAACTCGAACCTTCGAAACCGTTACAGGCGTGGGGATGTAGTACGAGCCAACTTATCATTGGCCAATTCATGGAGCAGCTTGTTCAGCACGTTATCCTCCGTACGGCTTCAAGAATTCCTTAAATTAGCACATTGGGAATATGGACCCCCTCCCGTATTGTTTTCTCCCCTGTTCTTTGGTAGAAATATTTATTCTTTCTTTCCTCCCAAATAACTTCGAAGTCAAATCCCTTTATTTTCTTTTTCGTGCTTGCATTTTTGGTGATTTTCAAGGCTCACACCCATCCCACATACACCTAGGTCATTACCCGCTATGTCCACCTTTGACTTTATCATCGTAGGGAGTAAATGATCTTCATTCGACCTTAATTTCGTTGGCCCTTACCCCTAACACATCTCGCAGGTGGCCCGTCTGGCTGCGCCCTCGCCGCCGGCCTCGCTAATTCGACCGCAAGACCCCGCGTCCTCCTCCTCGAAGCAGGCGACAACAAACAAGATCGCAACCTTCGCGTCGACGGCCAGCGATGGCTCACCTTTCAGGACCAGTCAATGAACTGGGGATTCAAGACTACCCCGCAGACGGACTGCAACAACCGTGAGATCGACTACAGTCGGGGCCGGTGCATGGGCGGGTCGAGCTCCATCAATTTCGGTGTGTACAGCGTCGGTGCGCGCGACGATTACCAGGAGTGGGCGAGAATTGTGGGCGATGAGACTTTTGCGTGGCGAGGTGTTCAGCAGAAGTTTAAGGACCTGGAGACGTTCCATGGCGAGATTCCGGAGGGCATAGATCGGAAATACGTGGATCCCAAGATGGAGAACCATGGGAGTGAGGGCCCGCTGCATGTGGGCTATGCGCGGGAGTGGGAGCGGGATTTAACAGAGCTCTTGGATGTCTTCGAGCAGGCTGGGTTTCCACTCAACCCAGACCACAACTCGGGAAACCCGATTGGAATGTCGGTTCTGATTAGCTCGGCGCACAAGGGGTTGCGCTCCACAGCGGGAGATCTGGTTAAGGAGAAGCTGGATAATCTGACTATTGTCACTGGGGCCCCTGTGCAGCGTGTCCTCCTGGAGGGGAAAAAGGCTGTGGGTGTTGAGTCGAACGGGAATAAATGTGAAGGCTTGACCTATCCCTGCTGCGAGTTACCTAGATACTAACAGCTGTGAACAGACTACGCCTCAAAGGAAGTCATCCTATCCGCCGGCGCGCTAAACGACCCCCGCATCCTGATGCACTCAGGCATAGGTCCTGCCGCCCAACTCCAGCAATACGAAATCACCGTCGTCCACGATGTACCCGCCGTCGGCCAGGGGCTCCGCGACCACTGCTTCGTGCCGATGGTGAACACTCGCACAGAAACCAGTACGGACCGAAAGGCCTTTTATGGTGACAAAGCCGCCATGGAGGCCGCACAGAAGCAATGGGAAGAAGACGGGACAGGCCCTTGGGCGAAATTTGCCTGCGAGTTGGGCATCGGTTGGTTCAAGCTGACCGAGCAGCTCACTTCCTCGCCAGAATTCAAGGCCCTTCCAGCAGATGAACAGAAGTATCTTCTACAGGAAACCGTGCCGCACTACGAAATCCTCACGCATTTCCCCGTTCATTGGGTCATCCCGGACTTCCCCAATGAGGCGTTGAGCTACTCCTGTCTGCTCGTCTTCTTGTTCAACGCGCAGACTCGCGGAGAAGTCACATTGCAATCGTCAGATCCTGACTCTCCGCTCTCTTTCAATCCCAAGTTCCTGGCCCACCCCTTTGACCGCCGACTCGCGATCGAAGCCTTGCGCGACTCGTTCCGCGTCGCGAAGCACGAATCCTACACCAAGGACAATGTGGCGGAGCTGGCAATGCCCAAGGGCGAGTCAGACGAGGATCTGCTCGAGTACTGGCGGCAGAATATCTCGTCCAGCTGGCACATGACAGGCACGGTGAAGATGGGCAAGACGGGCGATGTGGACGCGGTCGTGGATCCGGATTTCAGGTTGACGGGTATTGAGAATCTGCGTGTGGCGGATATGTCGGTTGTGCCGGTTCTAGTGAATTCCCATGTCCAGGCTGTTGCGTATGTCACTGGTGCAATTTGTGCGGAGAAGTTGGTGAGGGAGCATAGCCTTTCTTAGACAAAAAAACACCTACCAGTGTTGGTGCCCCTAGCCAATACACATTCTCACCCAATGGGAATCGTACATTGCGTCTGGTATTCTTATATAAAAGGTACATAGATCAACATGGCTTCGAAGGTTCGCTCGACCGCTGAGTAATGAGGATACATACAACATAGGGAAACACAGGCACGTATGCGTATAATAGGACTAAGTCTCGTTATCATAACAGGTGCTTTGGTGTTCGTATTCACGTGGAGTTTGGCCAGTACAAGGAGATCCCGAGGTCAAGCAGGATGTTCCAAGGTTGACCAAGAATTTCCGTATCTGTCAGTCAAGTTTCAAGGAAAGAGAACCTTGGAAAATGGGGTTTGTCTGTCGGACGTCCAGAACTTCCAGGGTTCCAAGGTTTCCAACGCTTCTGGGTGTCGGTAAGCTGGTAAACTTAAAAATTAAAATTATTAACTCTATTTTTGTAACATAGAGTGGGGCAGAAATACATACTAGGTTATACTCAGGTACCAACTACATATGTACATCATTGGTAGATCCCCAGGAGTTATTACCAATTGGGTAAGTGGTAGGAAGTTTGCGCCTCTGGAAAACTCCCAGAGCGGCCCGAGAAGAAGTGGATAGGATGCGATCTTTTGCTTCAATGTATGATTGTCCGGAACCCACATGCAGAGAGGGTGAAAAAGAGGACAAATTCATTCTCGTGTCCAATATCCGCCTGGAGTATTCGGGACGTAAAATTGTAAATACGAACCTACTAACTTTAAAACCTAGGTTAAGCAGATTTTTCGTCCCTTCAAAGGTTCGAATCTATCATTCCACTCTCCATTCTCACCGCCTTAATTGATTTCTTGCTTATTTTCCACCCAGACTACATAGATACATGTGTAATCAGTTTCATTGGCCATTCCTTTGGACGCTCTAAGGGCCATGGACGGGTCTTGACGAAAGTTTAGGTTGGGTGACAGAAGTCAAATCACACGCAAAGTTAAATGTTAAAAGTTAAATGTTGTTGGGATGGGTAGTGTAATTAGCTCCCTCCCCTTCATCTCATTTCAAGTCTATTAAGCAAGTCGACTTAAAACTCAATACAATCGTAGTGCTCTCTCTCCTCTTGCTTGAAGATATGGGGAAGGAGTTTCTCTATGAAATCGCAATTAAGGGCGTGTGAATAAACGTGTTCTTTGCTAGTAACGTCAACGGATATCTTACGACAACTTCCAACGTGAAGACCGTGGTGTGTCTGCGTAGGATCGCCATAATCGTGCCAGCCCACCAACGCACCAACCGGGTGTGAGTGGGTCCCACCGGATAGTATACAACATAGTCACTCCTGCAAAAGACTCTTCAACACAATATAGATATGACATCGATTTTTCTCAACTCTTCCAGTAGCTTAAAAAACTAAAAAGATAAACATCTAATGAAGGCCTTCCTAAACCGGTCTGACACTAACATTAATCCTAAATATATGTATACGATATAGAGGTATAAAGCACGCGGTGAAAACCACCACAGGCCTTGTTAGTTCGAGAGTTAAGAAAATTGAGCCTACTACTTATATTGTGTTATGTACCTTCTATATGGACATCTGAAGTTACTATACACAAGATACTTAATCCTTACGATTTGATATCCGGTGGAAATTCGCTGCTTGCCATGATTATCACACCTATCATCTCCGATGGTGGGTGGAGCCACCGTCTTGTCCCGAGATTTCCGCACTTTCACGTGTCTGTAGCCGTTATGAAATGTTGGTATCTCTCAGCGGTCACAGTAATTCTCAAGATAACTTAGGCCGCTACACCTAAGTGGCTGCATAAGAGCAACTAACGACTAAGCCAAAAGATCATAACAATCCACGGATCGGATCGTCCGATTGTCACTGTAGCCGTATATACAGTCAGTGATCATTAGTACTTGTACCTTAGACCCCGCTAGGGACCACGACACGACTGTGCCCACAATAGTGACTCTCACAGTCTACCTTTCCTTCCTCTTTATACCTCTACAGCTTCCACGAAATCATCATAATGTATTTCATGCTTTATGATCTCATCTACTAGTTAGCTTGTAGATTCGAACATCAACCGTTCTGGGATTTGTAGGCTATGAACCACTCGAAAAGGTTTAGCGGTCGGGTTCCTCCATGCCTCGGAAGAAAATAAAAACGGCCAATGAATCGCGCACCGCTCGCGTCTCGGCTCGACTCTCCCGATTGGGGTTAGCTCCACGGGGGACCCGAATCAGCGCCCTCCGGCGGTTGGCCACACATCGGGTTTTCAGAGCCACCGATCATTCTTTTCTCTTCATATCCCGCCCGTCTGGGGTTATCCAGTGTCCATCTCAATACCATGCCCAGGAAACCCACGCCGGCAGCCAAGCAGCGGGTTAAGACTAGATGCTCGACATGTCGGAAACGGAGGAGAACATATACTAAACCGACATTAAATCTGCAGTGAAAGTGTGGGGTGGTCCAGGCACTATCTCCATTTTGGGAAACCGTAGCCACTACTTCTCTAAGTTGGTGGGATCCATGCTGATCGATGACTACAACCGGGTGAAAGACTGGGGAAGTCTGGGATTGAGATGGGATCTAAAGTATAAAGGCTTCGGTGGGTTAAGGGGGGTTGCTTTGAATCATCGAGTCTGCTCTGCACACTGAATTGTATACTCTCTTTTTTTCAATTCGTCGAGACTACACTTCGCCCCTGCAATGCGTTGGTCAACCTCGGTTCCGCTGCTCTGCAGCTCAATGCTTACGTTCATCACGGGCTCGCTTGCTGTGGAACGGGCAGATAAACATTATGCCATCATGGACAATGATTGGTATACAGCGGGCTTTGTACCTTATTTGGTTGCTCTTGATGGCGATGTGGAAATCCTAGGCTTGGCCTCAGGTGAGTATTTAAATCATACTGCATTGGCGCAATTGTTCACTAAGCGGAATTATTAGATACCGCCAACAGCTGGCAGGCACAGGGCGCATTGCACGCAGTGGCAACCCTAGAGGCCGGGAATCTCAGCTGCATTCCAGTCTACCCGGGCGCCACATGGCCGTTAATCAATACCCCCCACCGCTTCCATGCATGGGAGATGATCCATGGCAAACTGCCCTGGCAAGGCGCTTTCGCGCCCGAGAACAAGACTCTGGAGGCTGAGGGTAATGACCCCACCTCTGGCGATCCGAACCGTATCATCAAGGAGGCTTTCAAGGAAGGCTTCCCTAAGGGCCGACCGGAAAACTCCACCTCGGCTGCTAACTTTATGGTCGAGATGGTGCACAAGTATCCCGGCAAGGTATCCATTTACTCGGCCGGCGCGTTGACCAATATTGCACTTGCTGTGCGTATGGACCCGCAGTTTGCGTCGCTTGCCAAAGGTCTTGTGATCATGGGTGGGTATGTCGACCTGAACATGCTTCAGGCCACTGGAAGCATCATGCTGGCAAATCACCAGTCTGACGTTAGTATCCTTCGAATAATCCCATGATTGTTTTGACTCCTGACAATATAGATCAATCTCATGATCGACCCCGAAGCCTCTAAGATCGCTCTGACCGCGGATTTCCCTAACGTCACCATCGCCGGCAATGTTGCTAACCAGGTCTTCCCGACCAAGTCGTTCTTGGAAGAGGTTCACTCGGTTCCAAACCCATATAGTGAGCTCTTCTATAAGTATTACGATCTGTCTTTTCCCTTCTGGGATGAGACAGCCGCTGCGCTGATGGTCGATCCTTCTATCTCTGTCAACCAGACTTCAGGTATGTCATGTGCAAGGTACACTCAAGTGCCATGGAATGTGACTAACATTTTCAAGTATATCTGGATGTGGACACATCATATGGCAGCCCCAACTATGGCAACATCCATGTGTACCAGAAGGCACTTGCGCCTCAGGGTATCCGGGAGGTGAACTATGTGTTCGAGGTGGATGCTGAGAAGCTCATCAGTCGGATCAAGCATGCCCTGCAGTATCCGAAATCATGTGCGGATTTGGAGTAGGCTGAGTCGCGCGTCGGATTGGCCTTGCTAGCTTGCATATACTGACAGAAAGACTGGGTGCAACAATGTACGATATGGATCAGTGATATGTAGATCTCTACATGTGTAGTTAATTGACCATTACCGAACCCCCATCTACTAAATTTAATGTGCCTTGGTGTCCTGGCTTCAATGATCCAAAGCTGCCAGTCGTCGCCTAAGGCACCATATACCGACATAGCCACGTCATGCCTCGTTTAGGAAGTGGCTCGGTGCTCGGGGCCGATACGCATGATTCCAGGCCAATCAAATGAATCGTCTCAGGCATTATGATATTGTTAATCTTTCGGACGGGTAGAATCCCAATTGACCCATTCATCCGACGGTGCTTTGCTAAGGGCAGCGTGGTCGGGTACAAACTGACGCCGAGCTGATTCACTCATAATGGTTTTGCTCGAGAGCCTCTTTCGACGGTGGCTAAATTTAATATTTGGAGTTAAGCATTGAAATTATAAAGCTTTCTCGTACCTTCAAACTACACAGGCTACATTATTCTGCCTCACAGCGGCTAAATTTCTGTTCTCCAAGTCAAATTCATCAGTGCTCCATGTCCAAGGTGCTCACTATTTTCGGCGCCACCGGGAACCAAGGTGGTTCCGTTATCGACGCCATTCTCGCCGACACCCAACTATCGAAGGAATTCAAGGTCCGGGGTATCACCCGCAACATTAGCAAGAAATCGGCACAGGACCTGGCTCAGCGCGGTGTAGATGTTGTTAAGGTTGGATTTCCATAGCTTTCTTCTTTACTCTTTTCACTTCCTTGCTCATCGTCTGAGAAGAATCATCCTGGCTAGAGGCTAACTTTCAAAACAGGCCGATCTGGACTCCGTCGATTCCCTCACCAAGGCGTTGAAGGGATCCCACACTGTCTTCCTCGTCACGAACTACTGGGAGATTAAGAACCCTGAGGTCGAGTTCTCTCAAGGCAAGAATGTCGCCGATGTCTCTAAGGCCGTTGGTGTCTCGCACCTGATATTCTCATCTCTCCACCATGTCGCGGAGGCGACCAAGGGCCGTCTCAGCCATGTTCCTCATTTCGATAGTAAAGCCAATGTTGAGAAGTATATTCGTGGTTCGGGCGTTGAATGCAGCTTTGTCCTTCCCGGTTACTACATGAGCAATTTCATCAAGATGCTCACCCGTGCTGAGGACGGGTCGTACCAACTCTTCTACCCAGTTGGAAAGCAGGCACAGTTCCCTCTCTTCGACGCCTCCCAAGATACAGGCAAGATCTCTATTGAAAACCCGCCCCCACCCTTCTTTAAATTAACGCACATGTCCCCTAGGTCTCTTCGTGAAAGCTGCTATTAAGCACCGCGACCAGCTGAAGGACAAGCGAATTTTGGCCGCTGTCAAGTACTACGGCCCCGAGGAGATCGTGGACACATTCTCGAAGGTAACTGGCAAGAAGGCCGTCTTTAGCAAAGTCGCCCCCGAGGAATACAAGGCCTCGCTGCCTCCAGCTATGGCCGACGAGTACCTCGAGAACCATCTGTTTGTAGAGGAGCCTGGTTACTACCTCGGAGAGCCCCTGGAGCCTAGCTTACGCCTTCTTGATGCTAAGCCCACTACCTGGGAGGAGTTTGTGAAGAGGAATGCTTCCGCTTGGAAATACATCCTTTTATAGGAGCTTGATGTTAATCCATATATGCATATCTACCGGTTTACTGAAACCCCTTGATATCGAATTTGCCTAAATGTGGTCTCAACATTAAGTTATGGTTATTCAAACATTCAAAATTCCTCCAAGCCAAGGGCCAGAAAACCTGTGATAGGTGCCATTCATATAAATCAAACACCCGTTCGTTGAACCGAATAACCCACCGCTAGCTCACAACCTGATGCTTCGACCCGCTTTGCCCGATAATTCTACCACCTCGACCTATACACGAGAGAGAATAGGCTAGATAAAGTAATATAAAATGAAATTGATTCACAATCAACGAGTCAGATATGAGCGAGAGCCACCTTAACAGTCATAAATTTCTGCAGGGCCTTAGTTCAGCGTCTTGATTTTCTACTACGATTCCCACGCGGTTTAATCTGTGTGTCCAAATTCATCCGTCCACGTGTGCCATAAAGTCCACCACAAAGAACCCACGTCCCAAAGTATTCCCTCTTTATACCTCGAGCATTCTCCTCTCTCTCAATCCCGCAAAGCATCGCGGGTAATTTTGACCCGGATACCAGGGCTCGATAGATCGGTCACGCCTATGAAACAATCATGGCAGATTTCCACGTCTCGTTCCCAAACTGTGTCGTATAGCTCCAGCTCAAACCGTGTGATTAGACGGGCAATCGTCAGGTATAGCTCTGCGTGTGCTAGGCTGATAATGTATGTTCGTTATTATATACCATTATACAGAGCTCCGGATTTCGGAAGAGAGCTAAGACGGAATGGAAAGAGGCACAGTTGGGAACTACAAAAGAAGAAAGCAAAAGAAAAACGTACTTGATTCCCAGACAAGATCTCGATCCCCGTCCCCATGCCATCAGATATCGTGGCTTCAGCTTTGGGTCATCGATCCACCGCTGTGGGTTGAAGCGGAAGGGCTCAGGAAATATTTGAGGGTTCGTGTGGTGGAGGTAGAGGGATTGCATCACAGGTGTCTAATCAAGATCTCTTTTAGTAATGTTGCACCCGGCATAGAGAATGTACACTCACGCCCCGTGGAATCACCCATTGCTTGTAGACAAGGTCCTCTTCGGTTGCGATGCGTGGCATGCGGCTAGAGGCGCCATGACTTAGTCGGAGACCCTCGGTGATGACGGCCGACTGATAGAATAGTCAAACGTTGCTCAAATGGCAGAAATATATGGGAAAGGTAAATCCATACAAAATAGGGCAAAGCCTCCAGCTCTGTCAGTGCAACAGGCGAATCAGCAGTCGGCATGACAGTACTCAACTCAGCATGTAGCTTGTCAAATACATCCTTGTTATGCAACAGATAATAGATCATCACTGCCAGGTTTCTGGCCGTTGTCTCGGTTCCAGCCCCAAGTGCGAGTCCAGCCTCCGCATTAAGTCGCTCTGGCGTCTTCTCACTCGGCGGCAAGTCACTGTTCACAATATCCTGAAAGATAGTCCGCGAGTTAGCAGGTAATATACCGTCTTTTTTCGAATCGCCGCCATTCTTCTGACGTTCTTCGGTAGCGAGCTGAATAATCTCAATAGGATACTGCAGTTTCTTGGTGAGCTTCGCCGTCTCAGGACTGATCCACTGCACGACCTCCGGCGACAGATTATTCAACAGTGGATTCATGAACCAGCTAAACTGTCTTCCCATTGGTCTCATCAATCCCACTGTCCGAAACGCATCAAGCCAATCGGCGCCCCAATCTTCGCGCGCGATGTTACCCATGTCGCCGCCAAGCGCATACGATGAGATGACATCCATGGTCAGCGCGGCCGTCGCATATGTCAAATTAACCACCTCGCCGCGAGAATAGCACCTGCCAGCCGGCTCTCGAGGCGCTTGACTTTCTCAACTATCATACCTTCCAGGGACTGGATAGCACGCTTGCTGAAGAAGGGGTTCAGGGCTGCGCGTCGCACCCGGTGCAAGTCGTGGTCCATGGATTGTAGGAGCGACCAGCTCATAGTTCCAGTCTTGGATGCATGCATGTACCAAGTATGCGGTCGCGCTTGCGGCGACCACCGGTATAGATCTCGTCAAAGTAGTCCGGGTCATGGATGTGGATGTGGTTCGGGTTGATGCGGACAACAGGGCCTAGTCGTTCATTTAGTACAAGGACATACAACAATATATATATTTCGTTTCTTTTTCTTTTTTTTTTTTGATTCTTGACCAGCTCAAGGGAGTCTACCGTATATCTCATGAAGCTGCTTGATCTTCCAGAGGTAGCGATGTTTGTGCGAGAGGCTGGCGGCTGCAAGCTTCGGACCGGGAAACCTGGCCAAAGGGTGAAGGGTGAGACGATATACATAGAGCAGAATTCCATAGCCTGTATATAACACAAGGAAAAGGCCAATTGCACTCAACATGGTGAACGATCCAATTTGGCTCAGGAGGCTCGGTTGGAAGGTCCCCATCTTGCTTAAACTTGTGGAGATAGAAAATTAAGTCCAGCTTCAATTGTAGTGGAAGTATAATGTCATTATGGCCATTGAGTCGGTAATAGATAGCTGTTACCGGATCATATCACTTCGCACTGTCCCATATTCACCCACCTTACGCAATTTGTCAGATTGTTGATCAGCATATCGGAACCTACTGAAAGAAGCAGCTTCCGGGCTATGGTAGAGTTTAGCGGGCAAAATTTTGGGATAGCGCGTCTACCATATGCACCAACCTTGGAAGTGTATTTGATTAATAATGTTGGTTGGGATATTGAAAACTAATTTTCAATTCTGTGAGCGGTCAATATGGTGAGGATATAATCAGCATGACCAAAAACTTCCATAGGCCCAAGTCCTGACCCTCAACATTCAACTAGCATATCACGATCTTCGAATTTGTTTATCATGTAATCTCGCATTTGCTTCTAACTTTCATGTTGCTGCTTGAATAGTCAAGGAATCTGTAACGGCTGATATCATCCATCTTGGTATACTCACTCGTTATCTGGGGACAAGGGTTTTCATGAGATCAATCTCCTTTTGTTTCAAATCTCAACTCAATAAAACCATGCGTGAGCGACTATTAAAATATAAGATGTAAATTAAAAATAAATGAAACAGCAACTCCTTACAGCGTGTACGCAGGATATAGACTGGCGATGCAAACACCGCCAACGACCATCAATGACTATCGAATATTAGGTCTAGCAGTACGACCCAAGATACTATGCGAAGCCTCTAGCTTATGCCGACGCCGATGCTGACTCCTTCTTAGTTTCCTTCTCCTGCCCCCGAATTTTGCGTCGCTCAACGGTCACAGCACCAATGATACTAATGCAGCACAAAGCCAGAGGCAACAACCACATATCCACCATTGCCTTATTGAAGGCGTTGAGGATGGCGGTCTTTTCTGCCCCATGTAGCCCCTTGGTCAAGGTTGTGACACCCCCGGTCATGATTTGACTGGTGTCGATACCGGCGACATCTGTCTTGGCAATGTCTTGGTCTAGGTAATGTCTTGGTCTAGGTGATTGATGAAGAGGGATTGAGCAACACCAGTGAGGATGGCACTGTCCAAAAATATGTCAGTAATTCTTCACTTTATCTGTTTCCCCTTCCGTTTGACTGCTATGAATTGATTCCAGCAACACTTACCCTGCCATTGTCTGAGTAAACATCACGATACCCGACCCAATAGGAATATCCACCAAATCAAGCACATTCTGGGCGACCATAACCGGAGTTTGAGCACATAAACCCATACCCAAGCCGTAGAGGATTTGGTACCCAATCCATTTTCCAGTGCCGATGTCAATCGTAAATGTGGTGAATAGACCTGCCCCGATGGAGAGGAACGTGGAGGAGAAAACGAGGAAGGGCCAGATGTACCCAACCATTCCGATTAGAATACCCCCAAGTAGTGAGGACAGGGCATTGGCAATGACCAGAGGAAGGGTGTCAACACCAGCACCGAAGGGGCTCGTTCCCAGAGCTCCTTGGAACCAACTGTAAATTCATTAGGGACTCGGTCATCTCACGGTATAGAAGGTATCGAGTGGGATGAGACATACATTGGAATGTAATAAAGCAGCAAGAACGAGGCACCACTGGAGCAAAAGCAGAAAAGGCAAGCGGCAGCTACACTGCGTTGTTTGAGCACACGTCCAGGCAGCATACTCTTGTCACCCTGCCAGAGCTCCAGAACGATGAAAGCGATTCCCAGCAGACCAAAAAGAACGAGCAGAACGATTATTCTGCCACTATCCCAGGCGTAGGTGGCCCCACCCCATTGCAGGGCGAGAAGGAGGCAGATGACACTTCCAGTCAGGGTAATGAGGCCGCTAAAGTCGAATCCCCTGAAGAATTCAACCAGAGAAGGAGGCTTGGCCTGGGGCTTGGGTGCGCGCACAAACAGCAAGAAAATAACATAACTGAAAGCGCCAATTGGAAGGTTAATGTAAAACTAGACAATTGCAGCCGGGTTAGCATATATTAAAAAGCAGGTTTAGTTCCCATGAGGGAAATGATGTGCGTAACTCACATTCCATCGCCAAGTGACGTGCTCAGTAAATGCGCCGCCAATCAATGGCCCAGTAGCATATCCAATGCCCATTGTGCCACCGACCAATCCCATAAACAAAGGGGCCTTTGCCGGATGGGCAATAAAAGGCACAAGAGAAAAGGTACCAACGAGCAATCCCGAGCATCCAATTCCTGCCACAGCACGGCCGACAATCAGGGCTGGAGAGTTTGGAGCCGCACCACAAATTGCCGAGCCAGCCAAGAAAAATATCATGGCCACTGTGTACACATATTGAATAGGGTACCAAGTATAGAGCTTTCCGTAGAGCAACTGCGTTATAGATGTAGTCATGAAATACACGCTACTGTACCAGCCAATGTCTTTGATGGAATTAAACTGGTCGGAAATCACAGGCACTGCTGTTGCTAGGACGGTGCTGTCCTAAACATGAGGAACTAACGTCAGTTTATGATTCGTATAATAAATATATACGGGTAGGATGAAGATATATGTATACACACCAGAGTGATGACAAAGATGATGAGGCACAGCGACAAAGTCACTAATGCAAATTTGAAAGGGCCTGGAAATTGCTGCTCCGGTGCAGCGTCGGTTTCATTGCCTGCGTCTGGTGGACTTTCAGGCCCTTTGGAATCTGGAGCTGATGAGCTATCAACACTATCAGCAGCGTCGAAGGGATTCTTCTCAAGGATGTGGTCGTCGGGGGAAGCCATGACGGGAGAGGTAAAACTTGTCAAAGTCAAATTCTAGATAATAAAAATGCGCATGGTGAAAACGGCAATGACCGAGCAGGAATCTTTCCTATGTGCTCTAGACTATGCGCATACCCAGAGGAGATTGGATTTATAATCAGAGCGCTTAGAAATCCACCACAAAGAGAAAAAGAAACAAGCACAGGGGTCTTGCAGGGGTACAAGGGTAGCAGCATGATTGGATTTGAACAGGGGGTTTGGTTGTTCCAGTGTGAAATTGATCCATGGATTATACTTAGTAACTCCGGCTAAATCCACGGATGGGTTGTCGTGGTGGGGACCTCGGGCGGCGAAAGCTTACAGGTTCCACTGATTGTAGCTGGAATGCCAATGGACAGGGTAGCTGGTTCGAGAACTGGCGTCTATGTTGGATGTATGACGAGTGACTACGAAGATATGTCCACTCATGATATTTACGACCTGGCACATAATGCCGCAGCTGGTGTTAGCGAAGCCATGACTGCCAACCGCGTCTCGTGGTTCTTCGACTTCCGTGGGCCCAGTCTCACCATTGATACGGCATGCTCATCGAGTCTGTACGCACTGCACCTAGCGTGCCAGTCCTTGCAACTAGGTGAAACAGATATGGTATGGAAATAATCCCTGGAAACGTTCATGCGCATCTAATGGGCTTTCTCGAACCTGGTCGCAGGTGTAAACCTCATCTTGTACCCTAATGCGATGAGCCAGCTAACGGCTATGCATATGCTTAGCCCCGAAGGAATTTCTCATTCGTTTGACCACCGAGCTAATGGGTATGGTCGGGGCGAGGGGACAGGAATCATCATTCTCAAACGTCTCTCTGATGCGCTTCGAGATGGGGATGTAATTCGTGCCGTTATCCGGAGTTCGGCTACCAACGTTGACGGGCGAACGCCGAGTGTCACGATGCCCAGCTCAGAAGCCCAAGAAGATTTGATCCGCACAGCTTATAAGCGAGCCGGGCTTCCGATCAGCGAGACATCCTATGTTGAGCTTCATGGTACCGGTACGCCGGTAGGAGTATATATCTCGCTCCAATCCGAAGGAACTCATGCCATTATTCTCAAAAAAACTAATATATTTAGGACCCCATTGAACTGTCCGCCATTGCAGCAACATTTAGCGCTTCTCGGAGCTTGGGTAAGCCCGTCTACGTGGGAAGTATCAAGCCAAATATCGGCCACACAGAAGGTTGTGCAGGCATTGCCGGTGTGCTGCGTGCCATCGCGTCCTTGGAAAAGGGGGAGATTCTTCCCACAGCTGAGATTGAAAAGGTCAATCCACGGCTTACACTTTCTGACTGGAATCTGGCCTTGCCCTCGAAAGTCTTGCCATGGCCTGTCGTGGGAACTCGTCGCATTAGTGTCAACAGCTTTGGCTTCGGCGGAGCCAATGCACATGTTATCATGGACGATGCATATCATTACCTGAAGGAACACGACCTCGCCGGATTTCATGCCACTACACTTCCAAAAGTAGATGAGCTTGAAGAGGCAAATGGCCACGCCAGTAAGGTGGCGGCCAAGAAGCTCCTGGTTGTCAGCTCTCGAGATCAACAGGGACTTCAGCGAATCGCGAAACAGTATAGAAGCTTGAGTAAACATCAGCCTTCTGTCGCAATTTCCGACCTGGCCCATACTCTCTCTGATAAACGCACGTTCTTCGATTACCGATCTTTCGTCGCAGCGGGCACATTGGAGGAACTTTCTCTCCGACTGGAGCGGCCACTGCCAATATTTCGACGCCCTACCAAGTTAAATGGTATTGTGTTTGCCTTTACGGGTCAAGGTGCCCAGTGGGCTGGTATGGGTAAAGAACTCATTGCCTTCCCTGTCTTTGCAGAAAGTATCAAAAAGAGCGGAGCTTGTTTGACCTCCCTGGGCTGCTTGTTCGATCTTAGGCATGAACTACAAAACATATACGATAGCAAGATAGAATCCCCAGAGTACAGCCAGCCTATTTGTTCAGCTGTTCAAATTGCCTTGGTAGACCTACTGCGAGACTGGTCTATCACACCTCGCGCGGTGATCGGGCATTCTAGTGGAGAGATCGGTAAGTCTGGGCTTGTTTTCCTCGTCGACAATCTGCTAACGGAGGCCTGCAGCGGCCTCATATGCGGCTGGAATCACTACCCACGAGGATGCAATTAAGGTCGCATATTTCCGTGGGATTTACTCCCTTCGCATTGCAGAGGGCTCCCGACGAGGTGGCATGCTGGCTGCAGGAATCTCCGCCGAAGAGTCTCAGGAGTACTTGAAGGCAGTGCCAAAGGGAAGCGTGGTAACAGCATGTCTCAACAGCCCAAAAAGTGTTACTCTCTCAGGGGACGTCGACCGAGTCACTGAGCTGGAGAAGCTTATCTCCAATGAAGGGAAATTCGCCCGCAAGCTTCGCGTATCGACTGCGTACCACTCGCCGCATATGGAGAGTGTTGCGAACGAATGCCTGGCTGCCATGGATAGATCAGGTTTTTCCAAGCCCCAGAAGTCTTCCATATTGATGTTCTCATCGGTGACGGGAGCTCTCATGGACCCTCAAGCAGTGGATACCTCCTACTGGATTCGCAACATGTGCCAGTCGGTCCTGTTCTCTCCGGCTCTGGGTGCACTTCTCACATACTCGCCCAATCGACGAAGCACTCGTCGCTTGCCGTGCAAGTGGAATTCTGTACTAGAGATTGGCCCACATTCTGCTCTGAAAGCGCCCATCGTTCAGACTATGGAAGGAGTCGGGAACAACCTTCCTGCAGATTTTCCCTATCTCTCCATGCTCATACGAAAGGAGGGTGCAATTGACGCGGCACTCAAGGCAGCTGGAGGACTGTGGGCACTTGGAAATCCCCTCTCACTAAAGCGAGTGAACCGGGAGGAGGGCGACGCTGACCCTCAGACCTTGGTAGACCTTCCTCCATACCCCTGGAACCATGAGAACCGCTATTGGCATGAAGCGAGCAACACAAGATCCGAACGGCTTAAAAGTCAACCTCGGTCGGACCTTCTAGGCGTCCCTGTCCCTAATCAGAACCCCTTTGAGCCGGAATGGAAAAATTATCTGCGTCTGCGGGAAAATCCTTGGATTTCTGACCACGCCATCACCGGAACGACATTGTATCCCGGAGCTGGAATGCTGATTATGGTCCTGGAAGCGGCACAGCAGATCGGTCCCAAAGGAACAAAAATTGAAGGAATTGAATTCATAGACGTTCATTTTGAGCGTGGCCTAGTCGTCCCGAGCGAGGGCGACGTGGAGACACGCCTCAGCGTCACTTTGTCCAATGGTAATGATGAGAGGCACAGCTTTGCCATCTTCTCGATCACGGGAAATTCTAGCTGGACAAAGCATTGCTATGGCTACTTTAGTATCCAGAAGGGCTGCGATGACTTCCAGCCCGAATCAGCTACGCTGGACTGGGAGCGACGCCTCGGTCAGCTTCATGCTGTCAAGAAGGACGCACGGCAGATGGTCAAGATCGACAAATTCTATCAAGATCTCCATAATGTGGGTATGGAATATGGTGATACCTTCCGCAACCTGGACTCTTTGACGGCCACTCTGGATGGAACTCAATGCTACGGCACTGTGGTAAGTCCCCCTTCCTGTCGGTCCGATACGGAGAAAATACCTGCCTGGTGATAGAAAATCCCTGATACCAAGTCCGTGATGCCATTTGAATTCGAGTACCCGCATATCATCCACCCTGCTACATTGGACGCGATCTTCCATTTGATGGTCCATGTCGTGTCGGATGGTGGAACGTGGACGGACGCAGCCGTACCCTATAGACTGCAACGGTTGTTCATTGCGAACGACCAACCCCATAATGCTGGCGCTCTATTTTCGGGATACGCCAGTCGTCGGAATAAGGCTGACAACGGCCTCTTGGCTGCAGATCTAGTTGTGTCAGATGAATCTTGGCAGGCACCCAAGATCATTGTGGATGGATTACTGATGAAAAAGGTCACTGCTGCTGAGTCAAGCTCTAGTGGCGCTGGTGGCAATGAAATTCCCAAGAGATGCACTGTTTTGGCGTGGGAGCTAGACCCCGCCAGTTTCGTTCACTCTCGCGACTCCTCTTCTCTCTCCCTTGAGAACGTCAATAAATTGCAGGACTGGCTACATATCGAATGCCACAAAACACCGGGGCTGACAGTATTAATTGATGGCAACGCGCTGGAGTCAATACTGGCGGAAGAGCTGTTTCCTTTCATCTCCGGGACCTCTCCCTACGGCGCTCTATCACAGCTTACCATCACTGGATCCAACGAAGAGATCTTGGATTCCTGGCGCACTGCCATTGCGGATGTTGATTCTGATGCCCAGGTCACATTCCAGGTTAGCGAAAAAGCATCTGGGTATCCCCTCGGCGATGTCAAATTCCAGTTAATCATCACCGCATCAAATGGACACTCGGCGGAGTCATCCGCTGCATCTTGGGTTCCTCGGCTCCAGAAAGCAGGTCGACTGCTTATATTGTCGCAAGGTCAGCTTGCTTTGGCTGCAGATAAACCCCTGAGCAACGGTTTCTCGTATCCAAAGGTCCAGGCTCGAAGCATATCATTGAAGACTGGGACCATAGATATCATCGCCGTGCCGCGAGCACCACGACTGGGTTCCTTCGCGTCCTGGAAAATGAACTGCCACAGGTCACCATCACACAAGTGGATCTGACAACCGATTTGAACTTGTCCAAGGCCGAGGCAATCCTGAACCTCTGGATTCCTATTTCGCTGGATGAAGCCGACTCCGATCTGGAGTATGCTGAGTTCAAAGGAGAATTCTATATTCCCCGCACGGTACCTGCGCCATCGTTCGACTCGGAGATTGCGTTGGCGACAGGAGCTGCCCATGCTGAACCCACATTAATTGGGGACGCGGGCCACCTCCAGCTGTCAAAAGATGAAGGTGCTGCTCTTGTATGGAACTTTGTGCCCGAGCTACAGCACAAGGTCTCGCCAGAAGAGGTGGACATTAAGGTGACCAACATTTCTACCACTGTTGGTCCTTCTTCTACTCTCTCCTCCCCGCAGGCGCTCTGGACTCACACGACTGGCGTTGTTTATGCGTGTGGCTCGAGTGTTACCGAGTTGTCTCCGGGAGATCATGTCGTGCTTCTGGGACCATCAAGCTGCCGGAATAATCTGCGGGTGCATTGGTCCAAGGCCCACAAAGTTCCCGTGGGAGTTGCCCTTGATGCATCAACAACTATGTGGCTCTATGCGCTGGCTCTATACATTCTCGAGCATGTCGTCCGTCTTCAAGGCGGTGAGAGCATCCTTGTTTGCGATGGCTTGACCCCTCTCTCTCAAGCCTTGCTTTCGCTATCCCGCACAACCGGCGCAAATATCTTCACTACGGTGTCGAGCCAAGCCGACAAGAAGACCGTTCAAAGCCTGGGTATTCCGGCCAACGTTATCGTGGATTCCAATTCAACTGAGTATCATCTTACCTCCTTCATGAAACCAGTGGTCGAGGAATCGATGCAATCATTGCCCCGGCGCACCTCCTCAGCAAGGGCCCATCGGCCTTTATGGCAGACTTCGGGCGAATTGCGACGATTATCGGAAGAGAAGATGATTACGGACTGCCGCGCAGTCTGGGAAGAAGGAATCTGACCTACTCGTTGGTGCAGCCGGCACAGATCCTGGAAGAGCACCCGGAGACCGTTACGCGATTGTTGAGAAAACGTGCCAGTCTGTTGAATGCTGTTTTACCTGCCTCCAAGTTTGCCCCTATCCTCCAGGTATCCTCTGTATCCCAGCTCCCTGACGCCGCAGAGCGATGCGTCAGCTCAAAGGAGGATGGTATTGTGTCTATTGCTTTTGCTGATGATGCGTTGGTGCCCGTTCTCCCTCTTAAGCCACAGACACTACAACTCCCTGCGGATGGCACCTATGTGCTAGCGGGAGGGTTGGGCTCGCTGGGCCTTAGAGTCGCTAAGTTGATGGCCCAGCATGGAGCCCGCCATATCGTACTCCTATCCCGCTCTCGAAACAATCCCAAGTGGGATGGGGAGATCGCGGGTGTGGAATCGATTGGAGCGTCGGTAGAGGTGCTCAAGTGTGACGTCACCAAGGAAGATGAGGTGGGAGACGCAATCAACTCGTTATACCTGGTCGGCAGAAGGATCCGTGGCGTGGTGCAGTGTGCCATGGTCTTGAAGGTAAGTCCTCCTTTTTTCCCTAACCCTAAGAATAGGGGCTCTCGGCTTACCATGGCCCAAAATGCAGGACAGTATATTCAGCAAGATGACCCACGACCAGTGGCAGAAGGCATTCAACCCGAAAGTAGCAGGGACATGGCATCTTCACAACTTACTTCCCACCAACCTTGACTTCTTCATTCTCCTGTCATCGGTCGTCTCGGTCATTGGCAACGTCTCACAAGCCAACTATTCTGCCGGAAACGCCTGGATGGACGCATTTGCCCACTATCGCCGAAGTCTAGGCAAAGCTGCCGTGTCTTTGAACGTAGGTTTAGTGCGGGACTCAGACCACACAATTGACGGAACAAACATGGATTCGTACCTCGATCGTTTTGGTCACATGGCCAGTGTCAGTACGACACTGGATGAATTGGATATTGGGCTGTTGGCCTGTATGCGCGGTCACACGGCGGATGGGTCCCCCATCCCTCCGCAGGTAGTGTACGGCATGACGGATGTGCTGCGTCGCGAGGGGCCGCTCGTGGACCAGTGGACTCGCGACCGTAAGTTCGATCATCGCGTTACCAGACTCAATGTCTCCAAGGGGGCAGCCACCGGTGACGGAGGGCCTGGAGCTGATGTGAGGGCAGCCCTAAGCAACGCAAAATCGGGATCAGAAGCAGGCCAAGTGGTGGTTGATGCATTCAAGAGGCTCCTGGCTCCTGGATTGGGAGTGCAGCCGACCGATATTGGCGATGATAGACCGATGTTTGAGCTAGGAGGTGAGTTCCATCCCAGCTATGATATACTAGCGACGAGAAACCTAACCCATTCCGCACCCTCAGTGGACTCGTTTAAAGCGGTGGAAGTCCGCAATCATGTCTTCCGGGAATTAAAGAGCGAGATATCAGTCTTTGAGATCCTCAGCTCCAAGCCATTGGAAGAGTTATCCATCCTTATCGCCATGAGAAGTCAGCTGGTGACGGCCGAGGCGAAAGCAACATAGGCCTTCTTAGTTGCGCTTTGCCGTCCATTCCAGGCCCAATAATCAAAGAAGCTGTTTATAGTTATTCATGGGGTGTTGGTTGGTACTCGTGTTGATTTCGTGCGGGAATGTACGTAGATAACCTTGAAAGAAATTCTTGTGTTCGCCAATAATATCTGTAAATGTTCTCTCATGGTTGAGGTGGCATCCATGGATACTATGGAGCAGTTGTGAACCCGCCCCTTGCTTCGCGTACTATTTTAGTGTGGTTCTGTACTACGCATTTAGGTAGGCGTGGTATTAATCTACCCTGGCGGTAAGCTGGGTGGGGGGTGTAAGAATTTATGTCCAGTCACCGTAATATAAATTAAGCAACCGCGGACGCGGTTAAGCAATTGCGGGCCTGGTAGTATTTATCTAGCACGTCGACGGTGATGAAGACTCCCGAATACATACATACATAGTGAGACCTACTTGCAGAACCTCGGAGGCAGGATACGCGACCCCCGACACGCCGCTCGACGAGCGTGTATGGTTCGTCCTGGCGATCGTGCTAGGGGTCGGCCCTATCCAAGATGGGGCAGCCAACTCGCCCAGGACGGCCGGTTTGTCAGTTGGAAAGAGCGACTCCTCTTCCGAATGTATTGAAGGTGGGCTGGAACATCCGGGACTTCAGGACTCCAGAGTGTCATGTTGGATTTGCACGATAAGCTATGGCTAGTCAGACTTGAGGCCAAATGGGAGGACCGCGGCGTATCATTGATTACGTCGTGATTGCGCAATGATTGCACTACTTAGTCGTTTTATTTTGCTTCAACAACTTCCTAACAATATCCAGAATCTGAAGTCAAGATGGCTACTGCTGCTGATAAGTGAATATGCACAAATGGTATACCAGTTTTTCTCGGTTCCTTGGGTGCGGCCCTATGCTTTGCCGTCGGCTACGTTATTCCCGCTTGGCATATACATCTATGCCGACATTGTGTCTGGTATGATCCAGAATCGGGCCCAAGGAGCAATCAACCCCAAAATACCGGCGCCACTCCCCACATCGAGATGTCCACTGTCAAGATAAATCCTGGGCACGCAAGATCAGATATGGATCGAGATATTGGGAACCACAATATATATCAAGGGCTCACGAATCCTTGTCTTTGCAACATACCAAAGCCGTGACGACAAATATAGCTGTAATAGGAATGCTACAAAGTTGTTTTCCAGCCACCGAACAAGCCTATAGGTCATTTTAAGCACTTTTTGATATCTTTTGCTTCTCTTTTGCTTCACAAAGTGCCACTTTCTCTTTGCTTTATATAATGTCATGACTGTCGCTTGAACACGCTTCAATATTTATAGCATCCTGTGAACCGCCTTTAGTCGTTGCAATAATAACATATGGAAACAATTTTGTTCTGTCTTCTTTCGAGATGATTAAGTTTTAGAGAAGTGACGCGAAAATGGCAGAGGCGCCCTACATTCTTTATGACAGCGAGGAAGCAAAGCCTTCTTGAGTCATTAGACGATGAAGTTTCTTGCACAAGGACTTAAGTAAAAATAAAAGTAAATATCTGATCTCTAAGCTCTGATATATCTGTCCTTCGTTCTTTGCTTTGTTTACATTATTATATGTATCTCTCTCAGGCAACATAGCTTCTCCTTCATCTTTCATCATCGTCAGTTTCATTAGCCATCTCTGGTACTTCCTTTTCTCCGTCACTTTAAAGACCCTTCGACTTACCGATTTTATTCGGAAACTCACAACGCCCTCGCATACAAAAGCGCCCACTCAGTGTAAATCGACGAATCAAAGTCTTTTGTCAAGCAGAGGACCTGGTAAATCGCCATCACGGCTTAGCGTGAATCTTATTCACCCTCCGCCTATCTTAGTGCAACGATGCATTCTTTTGACAGTCTAAGAGTGATTATTTGACAAAAGCTATCTCATAATTTTATTCTTGTTCAGTATTAGCACTCGCCACGGGGCTCCAAGGCTAATACGCGTGATTACACCGCCATCGCAGTAGGACGGTTTCTCAATGATGGTATCTGAATGCTGCCGGAACTTGATATGATGCGCGCACCAGTAGAGGGAGATTATGGTAAATAACAAAAACAAAACATACAACAGTGAGGATTCGCTGGTGGTCACCCACCCAACTACTAACTCACCGGCGTGTGGCTTGAGTACGGCTGAGCGGACGGGAAGCCCTGTTTTCCACACCCTATGGTCGTATGTATCATGTTACTTACGGAAAAGAATATAATGGCAATACTTAGAATCCGCGAGTTAGCGTCGTGCCAGTGAGGCTGATAAGGGTGACAGGACGCTTGGTGGTTGATGAGCTAGCTGTGTTTTGCCCTTTGCTTTATAGGTGAATTGCTCGGTTGCACCATGAATTACTAGCCATGTAAAAAGATGAAAGTGCAGTCAAAATAATGCAAAAAAAAGGTTCTTACAAGGTAAAATAAGGTTAAACTATATAATTCCAAATTCGAAGGCAGGTGGGGAGCCAGATGGCGGTCAGGGCTGTTGAGAGTGTCTTAGATATGGTTTTCTTTTGAGAAGCCTTCGCTAAGAAGAGTCTTGAGATATCAAATGCTCAATGGGTAAATCCTTCTATCATAGCATTACCTGCCATCTGATAATCTAACAAACAAATATCAACCCATACCAGCCCCAAAGCAATCTAAATAACAGTGCTCCAACACTTTAAGCAGGGTATCGGAGCATTTTATTGCCCTTGATGACACCACAAAGCCACAGCCGTGATATCTGCAAGTCTTTCTTTTCTTGGAAACTCATGCCCATGATGCGGGCTTCCGGTGGCGGAGCCCTAACATGTCCAGTGAGCTTGGGATGGTATATTGCGACCCAAGTGCATAGAAAGACTCCTCGTAAATTCCGATGCTTTATTGAACAGGAATATATATAAGGAAGCCTATAATCATCTCTGGTTCTAGTTTCCAAAATAAGTCCACGCTTCTTCCGCGCTCCACGTCATATCTACGTATCTACGTACATTATATATACCAACACTCATCTACATTGCCACCTTCCTCCCTCATACACCTACCTACTTACCTCCAATATGGGTGTTAAGCCCAGAACGGACCGCCCCGTTGCAGTCATCGGCGGCGGAGTCCTCGGCCGCCGCATTGGCTGTGTCTTCATCGCTGCTGGCTACCATGTCCACATCCGGGATACCTCGCCGAAGGCTCTCCGCGACGCGGCAGATTACATCGATCACCACAAAGTCGAGTACTCGTTGATGCCCCGCATTCAAAAGACCCACGATGAAGATAATGAGGGAAAACCTGGGGATCCCAAGGCTCACACCTCCATTTCCCAGGTTGACCTCGAGTCATATACTTCCGCGCCCTACGGTAACTGCAAGACTTTCACCGAGGTCGAGCCTGCTATTTCCAACGCTTGGCTGGTTGTAGAGGCTGTGCCTGAGATACTGCAGTTGAAGATTGATACTCTTGCAGAGTTGGACAAGTACGCTCCGGCCGATTGTTACATCGGCTCCAACAGCTCCTCTATGAAGTCAAACTTGATGCTTGTTAAAGTCTCCGCCAAGCGCAAGAGCAAAATCTTCAATATTCACTTCACTATGCCTCCCGCTATCCGCACAGTCGAGCTGATGACTTGCGGTGAGACCGATCCCGCGATCTTCCCTTACATGGAGACTGTCTTGGGTGAGTGCGGCATGTTGCCAGTGATAGTTCGCCGCGAATCGACCGGGTATGTATTATTCTTCCGAAAAGAAAAAAAGGCAAAAGAGAAACCGCGTATATCAGAACAGCAGACTGACTCGAGAAAATCGTACAGATTCATCTTCAACCGCATCTGGGCAGCTGTGAAGCGGGAAATCATGCAAATCCTCTACGAAGGCGTCAGCGACCCCAGCGAAATTGATCTACTCTGGGAACACATGTTCAAGAATGGCCCCCTCCCCTGCCAACTGATGGATCAAATCGGCCTCGACACCGTCGCCTTCATAGAAGACAACTACATCCAAGAAAGGGGTCTCCCCTCCGACGCAAACGACTGGTTACGAAGGGAATACCTCGACCAAGGACGCCTTGGCAAAAGCAGCGAAAAGGGCGGCCTCTACCCCCGACTCTCGAAATCCTCTTCCGCAGAAGCACAGCCGGCACACCCGCACAGCGCCGCAAAAGACGTTTACCTGTTGGACGTCGGACATGGCGGAAACGCCAAGGATGTCTCGCAGGTGCACTCCAACGGGAAAATCATGCGCCTCAATCTCGCAACCCAGAAACTCACGCCCATTGTCGTCGGCCAGAACCTGCCCGACGGCATCGACGTGTCGCTGGGGACGCAGCGCATCTTCTGGACGAATATGGGCCGCAGCCCGGCGGCGTGTGATGGCTCTGTCTGGTCGGCTGATATGGACGGTAGCGACGTGACGTGTGTCGTCTCCGTTGGCCAGGTGCATACGCCCAAACAGATCACGGTTATCGAGTCGCGTAAGCAGATTTATTTCTGTGACCGTGAGGGTCTAGGTGTGCACTGCTGTGATTTTGATGGTAATAACCATGTTATTCTGGTGCAGCGCCGCGCGGAGCCTGGCATGAGTCCATTGGAGCAGATGACGCTTTGGTGTGTGGGAGTTGCTGTCGATGTTGAGCGCGGCCTCTTGTACTGGACTCAGAAGGGAATGTCCAAGGCTGGTCAAGGTCGGATCTTCTGCGCTGGCTTGGATATTCCTGCCGGTGAGACTGCTGAGAATCGGACTGATATCCGGTGTCTGTGGAGTCACCTCCCTGAGCCCATTGATATTGAGTTAGATAGCGATACTCGGACTTTGTACTGGACGGATCGTGGTGAGCACCCTTTCGGCTGTACGCTGAACCGTGCCTATGTTGGTGGTGAAGAGATAGATTTGGAGAAGGTTATTCTGGCGCGTCACTTGAATGAGCCTATTGGCTTGAAGTTGGATAAGGCGAACGACATTGTGTATGTGGCTGACCTGGGTGGGAGTTTGTACTCGGTGTCATTGGAAGATGGACTCAAGACTGAGCTTGTGCGCAATGATGCTTGCTGGACTGGCTTGACTCTTGTTTAGCGAGACATATACGTGAATATATGTTGCAGAATAGACTTCCTTTGATGTACCCCCTGTTTCAGTAAGAAACCCCCACGCAACATGGGGAGTAAGAAATACATGTACACATACGTACATGGAGTATAATGTCATTATTTAGTGCGTTGCATTTCAAATATTATGCATGTATATGCAGCATGTAGCGGTGATAAAAGTAATCTCGTAGCTTTTATGACGTGGGGAGAGTACAGTCATATTTCATGAGTATTTGCACCCTAGTACATCGGAAGGCCACCCACTTATTTTCTGCCGATACAAAACTTCGCGCTGCTGCGCGCGCCGCGCGCGGCGCCGGGTCTATACTAGTAGGAATAGGCAGGCGGTGTAAAAGAGCGGTCAATAACGGAGGTACCGGGGTGCAAATACTCATGAAATGCCACTGTAGATCCCAGTCCCCTTAACCCTAATTAATTCCCATGTACTTGTAGTCTTACCAGTCGACATGATACCTGCAATATGCACAATAAGCACAGGCACAGCTGAAACAGACTAAAGCAAGACAATCTGCGGAGTACACACAATGTCACCCTTTCTTCCTCCCCCCCCCCCGATCCATTCCTGCACAGCCAGGGACTGCCGATCCCCCATTTCCCGTGCGTTGTACTCTTCCCTCCATTTAGCTACTACATCTACTTCGCATATACAACCTTCCCCGCACCAATCTTTATAGGTAGAAAAACATCTACCAACCCCCAAGATGCACCTCCAAACCCTTCTCCCCATCCTCTCGGCTTTAGGAATAACAGCAGCCATTGCCTCCAAACCAGCCCACCTCTGGGCAACCCACTACAATGGCAACGTCTACTCCCTAACCCTGAAAGACAATGACCTCTCCATATCGCAAACCCTCAACGCCTGCGGCGACATGCCAAGCTGGTTAACCTTAGACGCCCGCACCCGCACCGTCTACTGCTCCGACGAGACCGGCACTGCCGATCCTTCCACGCATGGCTCGCTGACGGCCCTGCATGTCAGGCCAAATGGCACTCTGCGCGAAGGCGCTGTCGCGAAGACCGTCGGTGGCGGCGTGAATAGTGTTATCTATGAGTCCAGTGCGGGGAAGAAGTTTATTGCAATTGCGCATTAGTATGTTTTGTTTTTTTTCTTATGTACATTCCTAGGGTTTTGCCTTGCCTTGCATTGACGTTGTTGTGCACGTGGAACTGTACTAACAACCTAGTAGCGAAGGCTCGGCCATCTCAACCTTCGCCTTACCAATCAAACAAAACCAACCAAGCCTGCAAGCCTTCCATTTCAACCTGACCAGACCGGGCAAAGTCGCCCAGCAGGACTCGCCGCACCCGCACGAAGTCTTCCTCGACCCGACCGGCTCGTTCATCGTCAGTCCGGACCTTGGTGCGGACTTGCTGCGCGTGTACGCGATTGAGGACGGCCCGTCGGGAAAGCTGTCGGAGTGTCCGAGCGTGAACATTACCTACGGCAGTGGGCCGCGACATGGCGTATTCTGGGCAGATAACACCGACCGGTCGGCTGGGGCGGGGTCGACGAATTCGCGGAAGACAGCGGCTGTCGGCGAGACGATGTTGTATCTTCTTAACGAGATCGGGGGCACGATGACGGCGTTTGATGTTTCGTATTCGAGATCTGGGTGTTTGTCTTTCGAGAAGACGCAGACCCTGGTGCCGTATCCCGGGGGTGTTATGCCTAAGGGTGCGACCCCGGCTGGGATTAGTAGGATTGGGGATCAGTTTTATGTTTCGATTCGGAGTGATCAAGGGTTCGAGCCGAGTGATTCGATGGTTGTACTTCATCGGTCGCCAGTGGATGGATCGGTTGAGTTGCGAGACTCGTCTTCTGCATTTGGAAAGGTGCCGCGGACTTTTGTGATTAACCGGGCTGGAGACCTGGTTGCTATTGGGAATCAGGCTTCCGCGACGGTTGCGGTTGTGCGTCGGGATCCGAAGACCGGGGATTTGGGTGAGCAGATTGCTTCTCTACAGGTTGGTGAGCCTGGGAAGGTGGGGACTGCGGAGGGTCTCAGCAGTGTCATCTGGGATGAGTAGATTGGTAGTTATATAAATCAAGAATCGGATAGGCGTGGGAAGACACGGCTGCCTCACACGGCTACAGCTTTCTTCTATAAACAGCGCAGAATGAAATCATTGCAGTACAAGTTCGCATCACATGAGAGACTTGAAAGAGCATCAAAAGCATATACCTCATGACCAAAATGTATGTCCGCATCAACCCCAGGATGCGGAAAGAAAGAAAATGTAGACCTTTGAATGTTGAAGACCAGCTTCTTCGGGTTTTTGACTGTCGGAAATCTGCACCGGAAAGACCTGGCCTGGAAAAAGCAACTCCTGCAACATCGTTTGGATGATGGATCCTGCCAGATCCTAGTGAAAACAAAAAAAAACGAGAAAAGTCGACCGAACAATGAAGAATAAATAACAATATAAGAATGAACGTGTATCAAACATCAGTCGTAAAATGCGTAAAGCCAAAGATGTAGGCTGTCTTGTTGAAGTCGTTCACTTGATGTCGATTTGGAATGCCTTCCATTTGCCTCCCACTGTTCGACATCGTGGACACCCTTGAGGACCAGGGTAGCTTGTTGGTCCTTGTGACGGGACATTATTTAATGGCCCATTCCCTGGAGTTCGGAATGAAGCGGGGGGGCTTGAAATGAACATGCTCACGCAGTCGCGGCAGACTCCACAGATGCACTCCGTACAGGCATAGCACTCATTCAGTGCCGAGGGTCGTTTGCATTGCGCGCAAAACACCTGAACTTCTTTGTTCCGGAAAGACGCCGGAGTAGGATTGGAGAATCGGTGGTGTTGGCGCTGAGAGATGGACGGGATAAGATTCATAACTGGGCTGGAATCAGAGTTTATGGACGGCGCGACTCCCGAAACCGATGATGCAAGATTTCTACCAGATGCCGAAGACATGGAATCGAGCGACGATTCAATAGATGGGAATGGTTCCAAGTCGCTCTCACGGCTGCGGTGGTTCTCGTATGGTGGTGGGGTCAATGATTTGTGCAAAGGCGAGGCGGCGTATGGATGCGGTGGGAATTGCCGATGTGAAGAGATAGGAGGCAATCCTGCGGATTGGAAAGCGGGTGGTAGCGAGGACCGATTTTTCACCCCAGAGGGAGCAGAGGTCACGTTGGAAAGTAGTGGGGCAATTGTGGGAGACCGACCAGCCTGAATTCGCCGCATCAGCACTGAAAGAAAAGTCCAGAATTGCATTCAAACTCACCTCTGAATAGGGCTCATCGTCTACTTCGGTTGCCGACGTCGCGGCTTCAATCAAATCCTCCCAGCGTTTGCCTTGCGCCCAGGCCGCGGTTTGCGGCTCTGCTGAAAGGGCTTTGCGGTCACCGATGCTTGGTCGCCGCCCGAATTCCTTTGACTTGGGGCGATCCTGCTTGGGTTTCCGGGCAGATTGAGTGATGGAAGATTTGCGCGGGCGGGAATATTTGTCTCTCCGCTGGATTGGCGGTAATGTGGATGAGCGACCGGGCGGGGAGTGATTGAGGATGGATGGAAGAAGCTCGCGAGGACGAGGCGTAAACGGTGGAAGAGATTCCTGCTTGAAATGGTCGCGCAGTGGGGGAAGTTCAATAGCTCCGCGCATGCGAGGGTGACTCAAGTCGGTATCCGAATGGGTATCCTGGGGAAATGCGGGTCAGTGCCACTGAGGAGAGACTCAGGGCTCGAAGCCCACAACAGCCCGGAGCGACAAACCATGTCTGTATCCCAGTCCGAGGCCAGCCGATGGTGATGCAGTTGTGCCAGAGCAACCGCGGCAGTGGCCGCAGCTGGGTGGGGTTCATCCAGAGCTCGAGGGGTAGCCGGCGAGCCGTCCGCGACATAGACGTCCCTTTCCGGCGCCACATCTGTGGGTAGCCGTCAGTATACGTGGCAAGAAATCCAGGGAAGAAAATCGAAAAGACTAACCCTGTGGTCGCCGGGGTTGAGCGGGTTCGGGGGGTGACATCTGCACCCGCTGCTCGAGCGGGGTGTTCACCATCATCAGGAAGCTCTCCTCGGTAGCCGGGAGCTTCGGGATGTAGTGGTTCGGATGGGCACGTCGAATGTGCTCCTGCATGGAGCGATAGCGTTTTTCCTAGAGCACCAACCGGATTAGTTCAAGTTGAGCTCAAGAGTCGCACGGGTCATATAGCTTTCGCAAGCCAGGTGATAGGTGGGGCTCGGGGCAAATACTTACACCTAGGCACCTTTTGCGACAATTGGAACCGTCGTTGTTCTTTAAGGGACAGACCACCTCATTATTGGCATCAGTTACCGAGAAAGAGCTGGTCAGTGAGCTTCGAGGAGGCATGGTTGCATATGGGTCATCCGAGATCCCGGGAGTTGAGATAAAAAAAGGAGGGGCGAATAAAGAGGTCAGCCGAGCACAGACAGGGTTTATGTGAACAATAGACAAAAATGCAGTTCAACATGCTCTGTGTGTAGAAGAGAAAGAAGGGAAGAATTGAAAAAGGGAAAAAAAGGAAATGAATGAGAGGGCGGCTCATACATTCAGAGTACTTCGAGGGCCCTCTAAGTGGGTGAAAGTCACTGGGGTATTACGGGTAATTACGCTGAGTTCGCCTTATTCTATTTTCTATTCCGTACTTCTTAATTCCTATTAATTTTTATTCCTATTTTCCTATAATTTCTAGCCTAGTTATTCTAGTCAGGAACAGCTTTATTCTGATCTACTTATGTTCGTACATTGAGCTCGCATACGTGGCTATCGTCCCTATCGAGTATCGATAACCAAAAAGAGGGGCGTGCAGCTTTGAGCTTCCCTTGTAAAGAAAACCCCATTCTTGGAATGTTCCACCGCTAAAAATGAAATTGAAAAGGGAGGGAAAATGGGAAAAAAAAAGAAAAAAGGAAAAAAGGATGAAACAGTACGGTATAGTCTGGTATTCAAATACAACCGAATAGCACGGCTTTTCGGAAACCCCGGTGGAACACCGAGCTCTAGCGATTATTACATTTCTACCTTCTTTTTATGTGACATCCATAGATGCCCTAAATATTCTATTCGGACTTTTACTAAAATATGTATCTAGCATACAAAGACATGATTCACAGCTTCGGGCAAAAGGAAAGGAAAGGAATTACTCGCGATAGGCGCTATCAGCGGCCCCTCCGAAGCTCTCCCCAGCTCCTGAGCTTCATTCCAGAAGGGAGGGAAGCTCCGGGTGGCGAACTAGCGCCACGTTACGGTGTAATATTACATATGGTATTATTTCATTCCATGGTTTTATTTTCTATTTTCTAATTTTATACACATTCTACATATTACTATGTAGAACATAGTGCGAAGTACATAGGTATATATGTAGTCTATGTAAGATTGAACATAAGATACCTAGGTAGGTACATAAAGCAAAGAAGGGGAGGTGTACTCATGTACTCACAGTGTAAGCAAGCCCGTGACTTCCTATGCCCTACTTAAGTATACTTATAGGCATAACCCATTACTATATAATACGTCTCAAGTATCATGCCTCGAGTACTCCGTACCTGTCTCAGCTCCGTACCTGTCTCAGCTCCGACCTTCTCCGTTTACCCTTATCTAATAAACTGGGCATCTTTCCAGATTACTTGATTGCCTAAATACCAAAATACCCCTAATACCTTGTATAACCAACTGCCGATGAAGAGCATCCCAAAGTAGCCTGATTGGCCCCCAATCCCCACCGAGTCACCAATTACCTCCATCCTCATTGGCTGCATCTCACACGCCATCCCGGTTCTGGGTGGCCGTGCAGGGGGATCAACGGAAAAGTCTGAGATTTCAAGTTCGGGGTTTTGGTATGCCGTACGGAGTACAGGGTACGTTGTATAAGTAATATCTGGGACTGATAGTTAGTATAGTAGCTTATACAAAATAGTATAATAAAGCTGTTATCAGACCTGTACACTATCTATCCATACACTAGAAATGTCAAGCATGTCACACTCCACTTAATATGACAAGGTGGGGAGCTTGCGAAGTCGAGACTTTCGTTCTAGATAGCTATGGGGTACCATTGAATGTATCTTCCAAGGTTATCTGCATCGCTTAGAATTCATGTAAGGTGCTCTAGCTTTCATGCAGCCTATTATTATACTCCATTGTACTACATCTGATTCCATCCGATCTGTCGGATCTAAGAACTATGACCATTGTACCTCGTAGTCCTATTTCCATCCTTGTTTAGACCGCAATCCCTTCCCGCAGACCAGCATACCAGCTGTGAGTCAGCCATGCAGGGTCCAGCATCATCATGGTAACCGAGTGTCGCCACTAAGGGGTGGCTGAGCTGACCAACTATAATGGCCATCATCTGAGACCCTTGCCGCCCGGTTTGCCTCCAAGGGATTCAACCTGAACAGACTTGCTCAACCGCAGAAATGCAGAATGCAGAAACCAGCTTAGACGAAAAGTGACCAGTAACTGATTTAAAAAAAAGCGTAGCTCTCCAGCTAATACCGCTAATACCGCTAAATACCATAGAGCATTGTAACATCTCATCCCGACCGTAAGAATAACCCCCAATCAGTCCAGTGGAGGCGTAACCATACCAGTACCACCACCACACCCCATCACATCCCCATCCTCCCCAGCAAAGAACAACAAGACGGCCTCGGCAGCAGCCTTAGCATCATCTTCATCCTCCAAACCAGGAACACGTGAGCGATAAATCTGCTCCAGATACTCGGCCACAACAGCCGCCGACCAACCCGCACGACGCCCAAACTCCTGCGCAAGCTCCCCATTGACGAAAGTATCAAACTCAAAGTGACCCTGGTACGTCAGGACCCGGCCGGGGTTATAAAGACCCTGGATAGCGCATTGCGCACTACTCCCGATACTAGACCACGGAGCCGGCAGCGAGACTCCCGCCGGGTCCGCGGCAGCCTCAGCCTCGGGCGTCGGCACAACCGCATCGCCGTGGATCAACTGGATGCGGAATGGGGTTTGAGCTGTGGCGCGCGCGAGAGGCGGGAAGCGCGCGGTGAACGAGGGCTGGAGGGTGATGGGATGA